GCAAAAAGAAAAAAGAATCCAAAAAAATGAGGGTAGTGTAAGGACCCTCTGGACAACTTTAAGCATGCCAACATTTGCATCATAGCAGTGCCAGAAGGAGAAGAGAGAGAACAAGAAATTGAAAACCTATTTGAAACAATAATGACAGAAAACTTCCTTAATTTGGTGAAGGAAACAGACATACAAGTCCAGGAAGCACAGAGACTCCCAAACAAGATGAACCCCAAGAGGCCCACACCAAGACAGTCATCATCAAAATGCCGAAGGTTAAATACAAAGGGAGAATCTTTTTTTTTTTTTTCATCCTCACCCGAGGAAATTTTTGCATTTATCTTCAGAGAGAGGGGGAGGGAGTGTAAAGGACAAACACATGACCTTACCCCCTGGATTTTAAGGGAATGGCAAGAACTAGCTCCTAATAGATAACCACTGCATTGTATAGATAACCTTTGCTTTGTGTACACAGAAACTGATTGTTCCCTCAGGCATAACAGCTAACTGCAAATATCTGCTTCTGTACATGCTTGCTTGCTCACATACCCTTAACCCAAATTCCTTAACAGGGGCTAAGATAACTATATAAGCAACCCACCCCCGAGCTCGGGGCTGCTCTCTCCTCTGTATAGGATGGGACAGTCACCGCGCAGCTAATAAAACTCTCTTAATTTGAACCCAGTTCGGAGTCTGAGTCTGGTCTGTCTCGTTGGTCAACAACAGGAGAGAGGGAGGAAGAGAGAAACATTGATGTGAGAGGGACACATCCAATGGTTGCCACCCCCATGGCCCCAACTGGGGCCTGGGACAAACTGCAACCAAGGTACACGCCCTTAGCAGGAACCAAACCTGGGACTCTCCAGTCCACAGGCTGACGCTCTAACCACTGAGCCAAACTGGCCAGGGCCAAAGAGAGAATATTAAAAGCAGCAAATAAAAGCAGTTCATTACCTACAAAGGAGCTCCCATAAGACTGTCAGCTGATTTCTCAAAAGAAACTTTGCAGGCCAGAAAGGAGTGGCAAGAGATCTATTCAAGGTGATGAAAAGCAACAACTTACAACTAAGATTACTCTATCCTGCAAAGCTATCATTTAGAATCGATGGACATATCAAGAGTTTCCCAGACAAGAAAAAGCTAAGGGAGTTCATCGCCACCAAACTAGTATTATATGAAATGTTGAAGGGTTTTCTTGAAGGAGAAGAACAACAAAAATAAAATGGCAATTAATACATGTCTATCAACGCTTGAATATACAAACAAAATGAGCAAACAGAACAGAAACAGACTCATAGATACAGAGAACTTTCTGTTGCTTGCCAGATGGGCAGGGGCTGGAGGGATGGGTGACAAGATGAAGGAATTAAGAAGTACAAATTAGCCCTGGCCAGTTTGGCTCAGCGGTTAGAGCGTCGGCCTGCAGTTCGGAGAGACCCGGATTTGGTTCCCGCTAAGGGCACGTACTTTGGTTGCAGTTTGTCCCCGGCCCTGGTTGGTCGTGCAAGTGGCAGCCACTCGATGTGTCCCTTCGCGTCGATGTTTCTCTCTTTCTCTCCCTTCCTCTCTCTCCCTCCCACTCTATCTGTACAAAAAATGGAAAAATAGCCTCGGGTGAGGATAAAAAAAAATAAAAAATAAATAAATAAATAAATAAATAAACCATTTACATTAAAAAAAAAAAAGTACAAATTGGTTGTTAGACTGATGAACCTCAAAGGGAAAGGGGGAGGGAGGGTGGGATGAGATAAATCAAAGAACTTCTATGCACATATGCACAACCAATGGACACCGACAATAATGTGGGGAAGGCAGGAAGGGGGCAGGATTGGGGAGGAGGGCATCAATGGGGAAAAAAGGGGGACATCTGTAATACATTCAACAATAAAATGACTAAAAAGAAAAAAGAATCCACATTTCAGCTTGGAGCATGAACACTCAAAAATTGTTGCCCAACCCTGGCTGGTTTGGCTCAGTGGTAGAGCATCAGCCCGCAGATCAATGAATCCTGTGTTCGATTCCGGCCAAGGGCACGTACCTTGGCTGTGTTTCATCCCTGGCCCTAGTCGGGGTTGTGTGGGAGGCAACCAGTCAATGTGTCCCTCTCATGTCAATGTTTCTCTCTCTCTTTCTTTCTCTCCCTCCCACTCTATCTGAAGATAGATAAAAAATATCCTTGGGTGAGCATTAAAACAATAAGTAAATAAAGAAAGAATTAAAAATAAAATTGTCACCCAGCCGGTGTGGCTCAGTGGATTGAGCATCATCCCATGGACTGAGAGGTCCTGGTTCCATTCCTGGTCAGGGCACATACCCGAGTTGTGGTCTCAATCCCCAGTAGGGGTTGTGCAGGAGGCAGCCGATTAATATGTCTCTCTCATCGATGTTTCTATCTTTCTCTCCCTTCCCCTCTCTCTAACAAATCAATAAAAACACATTTTTAAAAAATTGTCTGCACTGTGGGAGGGACACAAACTTGGCCTGGAGAGGAATTCCTTTGACACGAAAAATAGAGTGCCCTGTGTAGACACTACCTAAGAGCAAAGAGGACTGGAAATTTAGGCACAGGAGGGTGCTCTCCCACTGTGGAGAGCACTCTCAGAAGAGGAATACTACAGGCAAAACCTTGCAGGAACTGAGTCTAAACTCCAAAGGGACTAAGAACACTTTGAAAATGATTGAGTTCATCTTGAACTGTCAAGATGGAGTTTTCCACATCTGTGAACTTGGGAGCATGAAAGCTAGGTAAAGTTCAGTTATGCAGCTGTAAAGACAAGTCCCACACCTGAGTTTTGTAGGACTAAATTTTTGTACTTGTTAGAGTTATCGAGGCTGTAATGAAGGAATGGAGGGAGAGCAGTTACACAGAGAAGGAAACAGCTCACTGGGCCTGTAGGAGTTGGGGAAGGTGTCAACCAGGAGATGCTATTGAGCTATGTCTTGAAGAAGGAATAGGAATTTGCAGGGCTAAAGAGGGTGAGGAGGGAAGGTATTCCACATGCAAAGGTACAGAGGCACTAGACAATACAGCATCTTCAGGAAACTCTAAGAAGTTCATGGCTAGAGTGTTGAGGAACATAGTGAGTCTTGAGGCAGGTGAAATAATGTAGGGTTCGGGCCTTCTGTGCTCCATGAACAAGTTTGGGTTTTTACCTTATAGGCAACTAGGAATGGAGATGCTAAATAGGCATGCAATTATTTAGCATGGTAAATTCGGTGGAAAAAAGGATAGGTTAGAAAGAGGAGGTTTTGAGGCAAAGAAAGGACCTGGTCATCATCTAGGCTCAGGAAGGTGAACTAAAGCAGTAGGAATAGAGACGGGAGGCTGTGCTGAGAACTTTATTGAGAGAAAATCAGTAGGATTGTGTGACTGCCTGGATGTGAGAGAGAGGAAGGAAGGAATGGAGGATGATACAGTTTTCAGCTTAGAAGACCTGATAGATAGATGGTGATGGTATTAGCCAGTTTAGGTAGTATCAGAAAGAAAAAAAGGAAAAAACCTATGTCTTCGGGAAAAGTACGGCCAAGAAAAGAGTTCAGTTGGAGGTGGCTATGAGACATCTGGGTAGAAATGTCCAAAAGACAGTTTGAAATAGGACCCTGCAGGTCAGGAGAGAGGCAGGAGGTTACAGATGTTGGGTAGGCAATTACCCATATCTGCCACAGGACTGAAAAGAGGGTACTCGCAGGCTTTGGAAAATAGGAGGATAGTGATGATCTTAGAGTAGTTTGAGTACAAGGTGGTGATTGTGTGCGGAGGAGCAAGGGGAGTGGGGTGCAGAGAAGCCAGTTACAATGGTTTAGGAGCAAAAGAAGTTGTGAATTTTTTTGTTTTTTTGTCCTCACCCGAGGACATTTTTCCATTTTTTGTTCAGATAGAGTGGGAGGGGAAGAGAGAGAGAGAGAAACATCGATGGGAAATGGACACATCGAGTGGCTGCCTCCCGCACGACCCAACCAGGGCTGGGGACAAACTGCAACCGAGGTATGGGCCCTTAGTGGGAAACAAAGCCGGGTCTCTCTGGACCGCAGACCGACACTCTAACCGCTGAGCCAAACCGGCTAGGGCAGAAGTTGTGAATTTTTAAGACTACTAACAAAAGGACCATACTGATATCACTTTCCTGGTTATACTCAAAGACTGCTTGGTGGGGACTCATAGATCAATTTTCACCTCCAGTTGTGCATGTTCAATTTTTACCTGGGGTATTGCTTACGTTTCCTCTGGGGCAAAGAGAAGAGAATTTTTAGACCCTTTGCTTTCCATAAATCAAGACTTGGAGTTGGCACCACAGCAAGGATCGTGCTACATGTTTTGGAAGGTAAAAATGAAGAGCCACAGATTTCACGGACCAGGCAAAATCAGGCTGCATTGCTAGGTATCCCCCATGATAATGACAAAACTCTCGGCCTCCTTTGAAGAGGTCTAAAGGGGACAATTTAGCAATGAAATATGCAACATTTCTGTACAACTGGAAAGAGTGGTGGAAGCCACACATAAAACTCCGACAGCTGAGAAGGGTCTTCAGGTGTTAGTCACTTCACCTGCCAGGTGAAATCTAATTCATTCACTAGCAGGAAATGAAGAGGATGGAAGAGAAAAGACCAACTTTATTAAATTCAGGAAAATGCCCTTTTGATTACAGGAGTAGGATGGTGTGGCAGTGTTAATAATTTTCTTGAGATAAGTGGAAGAAAAAAAAAAAACAGAAAAAGAAAGAAAAGCTCCAGGATACTCTGCAGATAGGACATGTAAACACAGAAAGGAGAAAACCGGAACTGTACATCTTACTGCTAATAATTTCATCAACATAAAACCCATCAGCAACAAAATATATGAAAAAGAAAAAATATATATATGACCTTTCCAAATGATTCAACCACTAAATCCAAGGTGCAAATGACCCCCCCCCCCCAGCGACAAATGCTATTTGTAGTGAGTCCTCTGCACATGTCTGCTCACCAAGTCCCACCCACAGTGGTCCCAATAATGGGGGGCTGACACCTACCGCAAGGCACTGAGTACACTCTCTGAAAGCCCACTCTGCATACCACTTCGCAGAACTGCTGTGGGACTTGCTGAAACAATCTTTGGCTCACAGGTTTCCCAGGCATTCTCTCTTCCATCATTTTCTTCTTCTTTTGGAAGGCAGCCATGAGAACCTCGTTGTCTATCTTCTCGACCTAGAACCCAAGGGAATGAAAAACAGAAAAAAAAAACACTGTAGAACTGCTACTTAAAGTGCCTGATGCAGTGCTTCAAACCTAAAGGCACTTGTTCCTTTGCATGCCATTTACTTTTCTTTTTTAAAAAATGTTTTTATTGGTTTTTTAGAGAGAGGAAGGGAGAGAGAAAAACATCTATGTGAGAAATATCAATCGGCTGCCTCCTGCACACCCCCTACTGGTGATGGAGCCCACAACCCAAGCACGTGCTGGGGAATCGAAACCAGACCTCTCGGTCCATGGGTCAATGCTCAATCCACTGAGCCACACTGGCTGGGCGCAATTAGCTTATCATTTCAAATTATGTAAGAGTCTCTCCCAGCCCAACCGACCTCCTAGTTTGACTTTTATCTCTTCAGAATTCCCCATCCCTTCTCTGACAAATTCATTTAATAAAAATGCACTGAAGAATCACTATGTGCAGGCACTGGTAATGAAATGGTCAACAGTGTATTTACCATCTTTGCCCTTTTAAAGCTCATGGTTTAGTGAGAGATAAAAATGGGTACACAATTATAATAATGCAGTGTGATAAATGCTATTCCAGTTCTTTTATTTTGCATCACGTTAAGCAGCTTTTTCCTGGATACTGATCTATGCTTCTGTACATCCTGACATCATTTCTGCCTCCTGGTTCCCACCATACCCTGGTACCTGCCCATCTCTAGCTCCCTCTCAGTCTTCTTTCTGAGAATCCCAGTCAGGTGAGTAATCAGAGGTGTTTTCTTCAGCTACAGAACCAAATGGATTAATAGCAAAATAAGTCAAATTTTCCCCTTAATTATGTATACCTTTATAACCTGCAAACCACAGTTTTCAAACTGTTTCTTTTTATCATAAATTTCTTGAGTTAAAGGCATTAGACATCTCAGGAACTTCTTTTCTTTCATTTCATCTTGGAGTTTTGGTTGCTGAGTAGTCCGTTGTCCTAAAAATGAGTAACACAAAACTTTTTCAGTGCTCTGCGAGAGGCAAGAAATTTAATGAAACAAAGAAGTTTAGAGGCATAGATTAGCCAGTTTAACTTGTATGCCTCGTATGTTTAGGACATGCAAAAGACAAGACAGATAGAGTATTTGGCATATATATTACTCATGCCACCACCCAATCAAGAAGAGCAAAATTTGGAGATTAAGAGTAAATTGTGTCATGTATTTCCTCCCTTTTTCCTTTCCTCTCTCCCTTAACTTACTTCCTTTTTTAAGTTCAAGGGACAACCTGTTATTGTCCAAAGAAGCTTCTTCTTTTTTTTTTTTTTTTAATCCTCACCCGAGGACATTTTTCCAATTTTTGTACAGATAGAGTGGGAGGGAGAGAGAGGGAGAGAGAGAGAGAGAGAAACATCGACGTGAAGGGACACATCGAGTGGCTGCCACCCGCACAACCACTAGAGCCGGGGACAAACTGCAACCGAAGTACGTGCCCTTAGCGGGAATCGAACCAGGGTCTCTCCGGACCACAGGCCGACGCTCTAACCGCTGAGCCAAACCGGCCAGGGCCAAAGAAGCTTCTTACTGGACTAAATATACAGGTGGACAAAATGGAAAAGGTTTCCTTTTGGTTTGCATTTGACTTTAGACCAAGTATACTAATATGACCCAATCCCCAGCGCAGTATCTAATTGAGTGGGCTGAATTTAACTACAAAAAGCAGATGATGAATCCAGAGAAATTCGCTAGAGGGTCAAGTTGTAAATTTGGAAGGCAGGAGAGACAAAAATCCATAGTAAAGGAACTCCAAAGCCAGAAAATTTCAAAGGAAGAGACTACAAATTAAATCTGGAGAGCAATAGCTCACATTGATGAAATATAGTATTAAGTTTAGTTGACTTGAGTTTATTTTATTTATGTGTGTGTGTGAGTGTGTGTGCGCGTGCGTGTATATTTTAATTCTCACCCGAGGATATTTTTACATTTATCTTCAGATAGACTGAGAGCAAGAGAGCGAGAGTGAGAGAGAGAAACATTGATGTGAGAGAGACACATCGATTGGTTGCCACCCGCATGACCCCAGCCAGGGCCGGGGACAAACCGCAACCGAGGTATGTGCTCTTGGCCGGAATCAAACCAGGGACTCTTTGGTCTGCAGGCCGACACTCTAACCGCTGAGCCAAACCGGCCAGGGCTAGTTGACTTGAGTTTTGCAAACATTTACCAAGTCCCTGTTACATGCCAAGCACTGTCTGGGCACTGGAGATTCAAAATCTACAAACTCTTGCTATCAGAAAAGTTCACCAGGAAGGATTCAAAGAACAACATAAAAGAGAGGAGATGCCTAACTTCTATTATTTAAATTTTATTACTCTAATGGATAGTTGATGTTCTCTGTAGTAATAGCTCATTTCAAATGTATCCAATTTGTTAATGATGATATTAATCTAATTAAGAGAGGATGAGTCTGTATGAACCTCTGAAACACTGCTGTGGAACAATATGCTTAGTTATCAGGTACTAAAAATGCCACCTTGCAGCAGAACAAGGGACTTACATGATTAAATTGCCAGTAGCTGGGAGGATGGGTCAATCTTACAAATGCAGTTAAAATAAGGCCACAGGCTTTACAGGAGATGAATGTTTCTTTGTCCTTTGTTTTCTTGAGAGGTATCAGTGTCAGTTTACATATCCACAGACATTATACTTCAAAAGGTAAGTAGAGCCCTGACCGGTTTGGCTCTGTGGTAGAGAGCATTGGTGCGTGGACCAATAAGTCAAGGGTTCGATTCTGGCCAAGGGCATGAACCTTGTTTTCAGTTGGCCCCTGGCCCTGATTGGGATTGGTTAGGAGGCAACCAGTCGGTGTGTCTCTCTCACATCAATGTTACTCTCTCTCTCCCTTTCTATCCCTCTCCCTCCCTCCCACTCTATCTGAAGATAAATAGAAAAATATTCTTAGGTGAGGATTAAAAAAAGGTAAGTAGAAATCATAATCTTGGGTCTCATTCTTGTATATTATTTTTTCTCATAGTTTTGACTCAGGGTTTTCTGTGGAATGTGGATACAACATTTGCTACAAACTCTCACTCACTTTGACCATATCTGTCTAAATCATTTTATAAACACATGGTGAAAATAAGGTGTCCTTTGAAATTTTGCATCTGAATTTCTGTACTAAATCCATTCTCCACATGACAACCAGTGATCTTTCTAAATACAAGTCTGATCTGATCTTTGCCTAAAATCTTTTAAGGCTCCCCGTTTGTTTCAAGAAAAACTCTGAATTCGTTCATGTGACCTATAAAGTCTTACACAACCTAGGCCTTACTATGGTGTGATTTCTTAAAAGTTTCTTTTCCCTTACTAACTTCTGATTCTTCAGTTCTCCACTATGACACCACCTCTGAGAAGCTTTCTCCTGACTCCCAAGTCTGGGTTAGGTGCCTCAGAGCACTTTCACCCTCTTTCATAACTAACCCTGCTTGCTTCTCAGTATCCCCAATTAGATTTTGAGTGAAAACAATGTCCATTTTATCACTGTATCCCCAGCACCTAGAACAATGCTTGTTCCCCAGTACATATCATGGATGCAATATTCATTAGTTGAATAAATGAATGAAATAAGCCTCCTAAGGTAGTGTTTTCAATGGTATAATTTCCAAGTTAGCACTAGGGCTATGTAAACAGGATCTCTCCAGACCCCAATTCCCAGACACCCTGATGGATTTTGCCCCACTAAATAGGCGATGCTTGCGTGTACTTAACAGTACCAATTAATTTACTTTGGTGAGAAGGCTCAAAGTAAGCAATCTTAGGGTTCCTAGGGTGGCCAGCAACAAATAAATGCAATAAAACTCAATTTTAAAAAGTTAAGTGAAATGTATCTATAGTTGAATGCTCCACCTGCAGAATTAAGGATATACTTTTTTCCCCCACCACTGGAAGTGGGTTACTCTAGGCTTTTCACTTAATTGCCGCTTAGGCAATCCAGGTCATCATAAGTACATCCAATTGTGTGTGTGTGTGTGTGTGTGTGTGTGTGTGTGTGTGTGTGTGTGCATGTTCATTTACTAATAATTAACCCTGCTGGTAGAAACAGAGCCCAAAAATGGTTATAAAAGTTTATGGCCTAGTACAAAGCCTGCATGGTTTGCTCTCCCTCCCATTCTATCTCTTATCCACATACACATATATAATCCCACCCAAAAGGACAGCTGGGAGACCTGACTTTCCAACTTAATAGAAAATTACTCACCTGACAAGCTCCAAAGGGCTTGTTCCTTTTTTCTCGCCATTTCTTCTTGAATTTCACACAGCATTTCTTCAATGTTCATAACCACCTCAATGACGTCAGCCTTGGCTCCTTTAATCTCTAAAACTGCCTTTCCTGGACTGATAACCTCTGAGATAGAGACCCTTGAGGTTTCCTGAAGCCAAGACAAAATGTCATGTTCCTTTTTCCCAAGGTAGAGGATATGATTATTCTCAATGATGTGCTGGTCCTGGTGGGTCATTATCCTTTGTATCCACTCTAGGGCTTCACTCATCTTTTCCTGGTTAGATCCCATCAGATTGATGGCAGGAGGTTTAGCTTTTAGCCCATTTTCTTGGTTCTCTCTGATGCCCTGGAGGACTGAAAACACTATCATAAGCAACCACAGAAGACAGGTGGGTTTCAAACCAGAGCAGAATAATGGCCAGTGTTTGCCCCAGGATAGTGTCAACATTGTTTGCCTAACAGCTTCGATTACATAGGGTGTAAAGGAAATCTAAAAGTATAGTTTACAGTTTTCTTGAGAACACAGTTTAGCTTTAGGGGTTGGCTCCATCCTGTCTTGCCCCTGCTGTGTTGCATTTACCAATTCACCAATGAGTTCACCCTGTGATCTCACACTGAATGTTGACCAGCTATTACTTGCTGCTGAATGGGATTTTCTTTAACCTCTCGCCAATGCCAGGTTTAAAATCAAACATCTCATTAAGCCATAGAGCTTAAAGAGTAAAAATTATTTTAAAAATGTATTTCTGATTATAAAAATAATAGATGTTTATTACTGAAAAATTGGGAAATTATCAAAGTATAATGAAAGAAGGAAATACCCCTAATCCCACTCCCTGGGATTCCTATTTACATTTTATCTGTGTGCCACAGAACAGTTCACACCTGCCCCGGCACTGGGAGCTTCGGAGCTCCCACTGCTGGACACAGTATATCCCAGCAGAAAAGGAAATGGAACTTGATTCAAACCCACCCATGTATACCTCTCTCTGCAATCCCCTCCACAAGGAGTAAATATATGTATCAAGAAGAACCACTGATAGATTACGGCAGCTCTGAACCCAAATTGCAAACAAAAAAAGGTAGGGGGATGCACTAGCTGAGAGAGAATTCATAGGTGAGGCATTATCTAAAATATATATAAAGAATTCCCTCATTCCCGGTCAGGACACATGCCCCTGCAGGGTGTGCAGGAGGCGGCTCATCGATGTTCTCTCTCATCGATGTTTCTACCTCTCTCTCTCTCTCAAATCAATAAAGAAAAAATATTAAAAAAAATAATTCCCTCAAGCCCTGGCCGGTTGCTCCGTGGTTAGAGCGTCGGCCCGCAGACCAGAGAGTCTTGGGTTTGGTTCCCGCTAGGGTCATGTACCTCGGTTGCAGTTCGTCCCTAGCCCCTGTTGCGGTCGTGTGGGTGGCAGTCACTTGGCGTGTGTCTCTCGCATCAATGTTTCTCTCTCTCTCTCCCTTCCTCTCTCCCTCCCGCTCTATCTGAAGATAAATGCAAAAATGTCCTCGGATGAGGACGAATAAAATAATTCCCTCAAATCATTAAGAAAAACCACCCAGCCCTGGCCAGTTTGGCCTTGGACTGAAGGGTTGCGGGTTCAATTCCTGGTCAAGGGCATGTACCTGGTTTGCAGGTTCCATCCCCAGCCCTGGTCAGGGTCATGTGGGAAGCAACCAACAGATGTGTGTGTCTCTCTCACATTGATGCTTCCCTCTCCCTGCCTCCCTCCCTTCCACTCTATCAAAAAATTAATGGAGCCCTGGCCGGTTTGGCTCAGCGGTTAGAGTGTCGGCCTGCGGTCCAGGGAGACCCAGGTTCGGTTCCCACTAAGGGCATGTATCTTGGTTGCAGTTTGTCCCCAACCCTGACTGGGTTGTGCGGGTGACGACCACTCGATGTGGCCCTTTCAAGTCGATGTTTCTCCCTCCCTCCCTCTCTCCCACCCTACCTGAACAAAAAATGGAAAAATGTCCTCGGGTGAGGATTAACAAAAAGAAACAACTTAGTAGCCAGCTGAGCAAAAAGAATTCACAGAAAAGGACACACAAATGGCCCATATGTGTGTGAAAGGATGTTCCTATTCATTTGTAACCTGGGTTATAAAAAATTACCCACCAGATTGGCAAAAATTCCTAAATCTGACAATCTAAAGTGTTGGGAAGGATGTAGACTCTACATTGTAGAGCCACTGGTACTCCTCTGTATTCATGATAGATGGAAAACTCCTATAATTATATCTAAAGAAAGTTTGGCACATGTGTACCAGGGGATGTGTACAAGAAAGCTAACATTCTTATTTGTAACAGCCAGGAACTGGAACTAACCCAAATGTCCTTCAACAATGGAATATTATTACAACAATGAAAAGTCATGAATTTAGCTACATGGATGAATCTCAGTAACGTACTCTGAGGGAGAGTACGCTGAGCACGTTGTTCCAGGCATTATCCTAAGACCTTGACATACTTTATTCAATCCTCACAACCCAATGAGATAGGTACTATTAGTAGCCCCATCTTACAAATGAGGAAACGAATTCGGAGTTGCTAAGTAACTGCCCATGGTTTTAGGACTAGTAAGTGGTGGCCAGGGAGCTAGTGGGTGTGGGCAGTCTGACACCAGTGCTCACACAATTCTGCCTCCCAGTGAGTGATCCCAGAACAATTAGCATATTTTACCTAATGTAATAGTTGGGTGGTACGCGGAACTATAAAAAAGGATCAGGACAAACCTCGAGGGGAAGACGGCCTCCCTCTGAGTAAAAATATAAACCCAAGTTTTATACAACACTAAGAAGTGTGTGTGTGTGTGTGTGTGTGTGTGTGTGCATGTGTGGCAGAAGGGTTAAGTTGGAGGCATAGTTTTTTTTTTTTATCCTCACCCGAGGACATTTTTCCATTTTTTGTTCAGGTAGAGTGGGAGGGAGAGAGAGGAACACAGAGAGAGAGAGAAACATCGATGTGAAAGGAACACATCGAGTGGCTGCCACCCGCACAGCCGACCAGGTACAAACTGCAACCGAGGTACGCGCCCTTAGCGGGAACCGAACCCGGGTCTCTCAGGACCGCAGGCCAACGCTCCAATCGCTGAGCCAAACCGGCCAGGGCCATAGTTTTTTTTTTTTTAACCCTTGTTCTGCTTGGGAGCTTACATTACTTTTTAGGAGAAAAGAAAAATAATATATGTTGATACTTCATTTATCCATCATCATCAGGAAAGATGAATGGTTCTAGGTAACAACACTGTTAAGGATACTCTTCCAACACCAAAACATATTTCATTTTAACTATTAATTAAATATTTCTAATAGAACCACACTGCCTTCCTAAATAGCTTTTTTCCTTGATAACCTGGGATCATTAACATTAATCATTATTATTATTTTTTTTATCCTCACCTGAGGACATTTTTGCATTTATCTTCGGATAGAGCAGGAGAGAGAAAAGGAAGAAGAGAAACATCAATGTGAAAGAGACACATCGACTGGTTGCCACCCACACGACCCTAACTGGGGCTGGGGACAAACTGCAACCAAGGCACATGCACTTAGTGGGAACCAAACCCGGGACTCTCTGGTCCGCAGGCCGACGCTCTAACCGCTGAGCCAAACCGGCTAGGGCTCAATCACTATTAATGTCAATTATTGTCCTGTGCTATTATTCCTTTATAGATATCCTCAAAAATCACTGACGTAAATAGTAATGTCTGGCCCCATTATTCAGATTAATGACAGAGAGACATTTGTATATTATCCTCACCCCAAACTCCTGCTATCTAGCATCTCTAGATTCATTGTGGTTCCCCAAACATGTACTGCATTTTTTGCTTTCTGTGGGTTTTCTTCACCTTGGGTGACCCACGCCACCAACTCTGGCCATTGAAAATCTTGCCATCCTCAAAGCCAAGCTTAGAACCATCTCTTCCATGAAGCTATTCTTGATCCCTTGCAGTAGAAGGAATCTCTCCCTCCTCTTGGACACTTGGGAAGTTTGTCCAGTCATTATTTATCCCCTGGCATTTAGTTAGTGCTTTGCAATTTATAGAACATTTTTACCTACATAATCTCTAATTATCCTCATAGTAGTCTGTCATTATCATTTTACAGATAAATATAAGTAGGTTCATAAGAGGTGTAGTCAAAGAACATGGCTCTTAAAATTCCCCCTTCATTTCCAGAATTGATGGACCATTGAACAACCATAAGCGAACCCTTCTATTAAAAGGTATAAACAGCCCTGGCCGGTTTGGCTCAGCGGTTAGAGCGCCCGCCTGCGGTCCGGAGAGACCCGGGTTCGGTTCCCGCTAAGGGCATGTACCTTGGTTGCAGTTTGTCCCCGGCCCTGGTTGGTCGTGTGGGTGGCAGCCACTCAATGTGTCCCTTTCACGTCGATGTTTCTCACTCTCTCTCTTCCTCTCTCTCCCTCCCACTCTGTCTGTACAAAAAATGGAAAAATGTCCTCGGGTGAGGATAAAAAAAAAAAAAAAAAATTAAAAAAAAAAAAAAGGTATAAACAGCCCTGGCCAGTTTGGCTCAGCGGTTAGAGAGTCGGCCTGCGGTCCAGAGAGACCAGGGTTCAGTTCCCGATAAGGGCACATACCTCGGTTGCAGTTTGTCCCCGGCCCTGGTTGGTTGTGCGGGTGGCAGCCACTCGATGTGTCCCTTTCACGTTGATGTTTCTCTCTCTCTCTCTTCCTCTCTCTCCCTCCCACTCTATCTGAACAAAAAATGGAAAAATGTCCCCGGGTAAGGATGAAAAAAAAAGGTATAAACAAATAATTTTTACCCTAATGGGAAATATCCTAACAGTTTCTATTGCTGGTTGATTGTCTAGTGTTCTTACCATCAGATGAAAAGACTATTTCAGATGTACACAACCTAGTTGCCACCTCAGTCCACGTAAACGCCACTAAAGAAATGTAGTTATAAGACTACAGGATTGGCCCTGGCTGGTTTGGCTCAGCGGTTAGAGCATCAGCCTGCGGTCCGGAGAGACCGGGGTTCGGTTCCCGCTAAGGGCATGTACCTTGGTTGCAGTTTGTCCCTGGCCCTGGTTGGTTGTGCGGGTGGCAGCCACTCGATGTGTCCCTTTCACATCGATGTTTCTCTCGCTCTCTCTTCCTCTCTCTCCCTCCCACTCTATCTGTACAAAAAATGGAAAAATGTCCTCGGGTGAGGATAAAAAAAAAAAAAAAAAAGACTACAGGATTGGTTTAGTTCAGTGATCCCCAAACCTGGTGAAGTAGCAAAATTGAGTAGGAGGCATTCAAAAATATACATGCTTGGCCCAGGCCCAGAGTTCCTGAATCAGACTCTGGAGAGTTGGGGCTTATACACACATTTGTTGGTGTGTTTGCTTTTTAAAGTTTCTATCATGATCCCAGTGATCCTAAAACCTAAGTTTGGGTAGTGTTTGTTTAAACTATTTATTGTTATCTGGTATTATTGAGATGTGTTTTCTATAATTATTAAAGAGTAACTCCATTTAGATGTTGCTCATTCCGAGTAGAAAGACAGCTGGCTAAGTCAGCTTGTGAAAAGTAGAACTTTTCTTAGAAAAAAATTAGATAGCATTCATAAATGAACTATCCACACTGTGAATTATCTAATGCAACTTTGCCTCGCTCTGCTCGTATCATAAAACTGGACTGAGAAGAACATGGTCAGGTATAGAGCAGGTTGGTATCTAAGCAGGAGCAAAATGAAATATATTTGGCTTCTTTATCCTTCTTTTCTCCTCCATCAGTTTAGATGATCAAGAATAGCATGATCCTAGGGTGGGAGCTGCTGGTTCTAGGCCCATTAATTTCATACTCACCACTGTAATTATTGGGGGGCTGCAGCTTGGACTTACTCTTTTCCATTGCAGTGATGAAAGCCTACAAGAAGCAGAACAGAACAGAGCAGGGCTTTTAGCCATTGTCATCAAAGTCTCTCCCCCTACCTGCACATACCACACTCGACCTCATCTCTGTGAGTCCCCATTTCCAGTGCCACAAATCTAAAGCAGCCTGGAGGAAAATCTTGGGGAACAGCAAGTGCAGTACTACAATCTATTAAAACATGTAGGGGAAACAGGTATAAGAAAAATGAAAAGAAAACCAAAATCTGGTATAAAAAAGAAGAATGTATATTCCAAGGCAAATATTATCACTCATTCATTCAATCAACAGATTTTGTTGTTGTTAATCCTCACCAGAGGATATTTCTTCCATTGATTTTTAGAGAGAGTGGAAGGGAGAGAGGGAAGAGACAGAAAGAGAGAACATCGATGTGTGCTATGATAGAGAGGCATCGACTGGTTGCCTCCCGCAAGCACCCTAACCAGGGCTGGGGATCGAACCTGCAATTCAAGTATGTGTCCTGGACCGGGAATCGAACCCGCACAATCAAAAGATATTAATGCCTTGCTTAGTGCATGTTAGGCACTGTAAAAAACTAAAGCTCTGGATATGACACTGAAGAAGAAAAATATACAGGCAGCTGCTCTTGAATTAATAAAACATAAATTTATTTTTAAAAAGTTATACACACTACTTTTTCTGTAGATCAAATAAATGATCAATTCCTATAAAGTGCTTAATATTGTATCTGGCACATAGGAAACATTCAGTATGTTAGTTATTGTAAATATTATTATATGGCAGTCTATGGACAAAGATTTGTTTATTTAAAAAAAAAATAAACTCCTGGGGGATAGGCAGGATGGTGTCTGGGGGGGAAAAAGAAGAAATATCTGTAACAAAAATTAATTTAAAAACCCCCCAAAAAACTCTCTCCTAGAGTTTGGAATTACCATTTCCAGTGCCTTCCTTTTTTAAAGCTGATACAATTGGCAGTAATTACTTCATGGAAAAGATGGTAAATAGTGAGGCAAAAACTAGATTTCATTTTGCATCTGAACTTTAACAATAAAATTTCTTAATCTGTAGGCCATTTTCTTCATCAATTATATTTCCAGCTGCTATTTCTAGAGCAAAAAGCCCTGTATTTTACCATAGCTTGTACCCGGAGAGGTCATTAGAGGGAACTTTCCTGCATTCCCCATCCAAGAACTTGGAAATAAAATGAGATAATATTATCTGCTGATAAATTAAGAAGAGCTGCCATACACAGAATGGATGAAAATTAGCTCTCTCCCAAAGCCCCTTTAAATGTCAGGATGTGTCCCAGGGTGAGAAATCGATCAGGTGAGGCTTCTGAATTCAATTTGAAAGAAATCTGTAACTTAGTATCAATAAATTAGAAGAATGTGTGGATAACAAGCAAATGGTCTGCTAGACGTTTGGAAAAGTGGACCAATATGGCAAGAATTTGGCAGGATTTCCAACTCTGTCCACAAATGACTAATGCCTAACATTAGTAGTGTGTTCCTAGAGAGGTGTTCCTTATTCTGAGACGTAATGCCTGGCACAAGGTAGATATGCAATAAATGTTTGTTAAATAACCAAATGAATGACTATCCATCGCTTTTTACAGATACTCAGCTCCAACCAGGACCCTTATCACCAGGAAATACTGGTGAACACAAGTGTCAGTCAGCTGGGAAGTTGTTGACCCACTGTCATTCATGAACTGTAATATTCATGAGTGTGAATGTAAGAATCATCTTATTGTGAGTTTAGTGTAGGTTGGTCTTCCTGAGTCAGGTCAACTCTGAATGTCTGACACAACCATTTTCTGAAATGTAGGGACTTGCAAAGGTAAAGCCCCCCGTGAGAATGTATAAATTGCCCTCTGATCTTTCTGAACACACATCCCTCACTGAAAGACTTATTCAGGAAGAAAAGATGTGTTTATCAGAAGGCCAGAGGGAATACATATACGTGCACATACATCATACTTCCTTGTGAATATAGTGTTGATATTGAAAAAAAAACTGAAGGGGGTCGCTGGGGGATGTCCGGGTGTAACATGAGTTATAATGTGTATGAGTCCTGTCCTGTGAGTTACAGAACTGAAAGATGTATCATCTCTCAAGTTATTTTCTTCTGTGTTTTTCTTTAGTGGTTCAGAACACAGGCTTTGTGGACAGACAGACCATGGTTGGAATCTTGGTTTGGTCATTTGACTACCTGTGTGTATATTAATCTCTGGGTTAATACATTTTCTCATTTATAAAGTGGAGATGGTAACTGTGTCTTCATCACAGGATTAGGGGAGGAGAATGAAATGAGACAGCTTCTTAGCACAGTACCTGGCTGATGTAATACATGGCAGCTACTTTTATTAGCCCTCAGGCTGTGGTTAATCTTTCTACTTTTGTTGAACTGCCATGTACATTTTTGATGGTAGGTTGGAATGAATGAACCTTTTTTCCTAGATGTGGTTAATTCCTCGTTAGGGATATGGTACTACACGAACAGTTCAAATACATACTCTGGGCACCTATATGAGCCCAATAATAGTCCTCTGCTTAGGGGGGAACTGGTGAACTTCATTTGAAGAACAGGATGAATTGTTTTGTCAGGAAGGTGGGCCACTTCACCAGGTAATTCACCACCATGTTGCAGGTCAGCTGTGGATGAGACACTGGTGTGCTGGGGCCAGATGGCATCGGCTCACAAGAGCTTGTACACATGTCTTCTCACCTCCACCTTCAGTGGTGTCACATGGATAGTTTGTGAAGTCAGCAGGGGAAATGAGCAAATGCTACACACTTCCTTGTGTCTAGTCAGGCAGCAAAAGAAATGAGAACCTTTACACTTGTTTCAGGAAACAGCAAGCTAAAACCAATATGTCTGTTTCCTTGTACAAGGAGATAAAGGGAAACCAACCACATGGACACAGGCTGGGAGTAGGAAAAAGGACTAATGTTCTCAGCCAGTTTCTGGGCCAGGCACTCAGAAGGCCCTTTACACCCGGAACCCAGACACATGCCTGGGAGGTCGCACTAGCCCTTCAATGTTGCAGTCAACAGAATCAGAAACCTGTGTCTTCAAAACCTAGTGTAAAGTGCTGTATCTTATCTCATTTCTTTTTTTAGTCTTCCTTAACATCATTAAAGTCCTTTTTGAAATGTCAGCTAAATGAGAATAAAGCAAAGAGATGGTACTTTAAAGGCAGAACAGCCCAGCAATATATACTAGTTATGCTGAATGCATCAGCAGCCTGTTCACATGTGAGAAACTCAGCTGACCTGGCCACTGTAAAACTAAAAGCTGAGATGAAGTGAAAATGAAAGACACTGGGTACCAGTTCTTCGCACACAGATACACAGACACACTCCCCTACACACATGTCCCTCCATCTGTGTTAGACTACAGCTAATTTCCCTCTGAAGTCACCTGCAAATGAGTTAAGAAAAATAGATTGAATTTGAGGACAGTACTGGGGACATGGCAAAAGTAGTCACATACAGCCTTGCTGTTAAAAAACTTATAATCTAAATGGCAAAAGATAACAAGCAATTCACTTAATTTAGTATTCAGTTCAGCACTCAGTGAACTGTAGCTCATTACAGTTAATATAACAGCTGACCTTCATGGAGGACTTACTGTATGCCAGGTACTATTCTAAGTGTTTTACGTGTAGTAACTCAGTGAATTCTCACAACATCTCCCTAAGATGGTAGTGATTATCCCCATATTAAAGCTGGAGAAACGGAGGTACAGATAAGCAACTTAACTTGCCCAAGGACGTTGATTGATTAAAGAGGAAAAGACAAAGAATGTGTTTTAAATATGTTGGATTTAAGGTGAGAGTAAGATATCTAAGTGGAAATGAAAGGGGGTTGGGGATGTAGGTTTGAAGTTGGCTCAGAAGATAGGACTCTACAGAAGTAGCGGAAGTTTAAGAATAGTTGTTCTGCCCTGGCTGGTTTTGCCCTCCCTCAGTCATTCGAGCACTGGCCCAAGCATGGAAAGGTTGAGATTTCGATTCCCGGTCAAGTGTACATACCTGGGTTGCAGGTTTATCCCTGGCTCGGAGGCAACCAATGGATGTGTCTCTCTCACACTGATATTTCTCTCTCCCCTTCCTCTACCTCCCTTCCACGCTCTCTAAAAATCGATGGAAAAAATATCCTTGCCCAGCCAGTGTGGCTCACTGATTGAGCGTCGACCCATGTACCAAGATGTTGCCGGTTTGATTCCCGGTCAGGGCATATGCCCAGGTTGTAGGCCAAATCCCCAGTGTGGGGTATGCAGGAGACGGCCAATCGATGTTTCCTTCCTTCCTTCCTTCCTTCCTTCCTTCCTTCCTTCCTTCCTTCCTTCCGTCCGTCCTTCCTTCCTTCCTTCCTTCCTTCCTTCTTTCTTTCTTTTTTTAAATTCCTCACCTGAGGATATTTTTCTACTTATTATCAGATAGAATGGGAAGGAGGGAGAGAGAGACAGAGAGACAGAGGGAAACATTGATGTGATAGAGCCACATCGACTGGCTGCCTCCTACATGACAACACCAGGGCGGCGGACGAACCACAACAGAGGTACATGCCCTTGACTGGAATCGAACTCACGACTCACTGGTCCACAGGCTGACACTCTAACTGCTGAGCTAAACTGGCCAGGGCTCTCATCGATGTTTCTATCTCTCCCTCTCCCTTCCTCTCGCTAGAGTCAATAAAGAAAAAAAAAATTAGAAAAAAAAATCCTCAGGTGAGGATTAACAACAACAAAAAACACAAACAAACAAAAGAAAGAAGAGAGAGGAACATAGGATCCCACACTGAAACTAGGAGTTCGCTTACCTTTAAGGACCAGAGGAAGAATAAGTGCCAACAAAGGACAAGAGTGAAGCTAGGTAGTGGGTTTAACATGGCTTCTCTAATGGCCTTCTTTATTACGTCTGAGGTGGACAATTTACGAAAGTTAAATTTCACCAAATCAGAACATCACCATACCATACAGTGCTTAGTCCCATGTCTTTCATTGGAGATACTAAACAGATGTTGAATGAATGAATGAATGAATGAATGAATGAATTTTAAGGCATTTCTAAGATACTAACTTACCTTATATGTCTCCATTTCTGTAGGAAAGATCACAAACTTTATAGTTAGTTGTTTACTAAAATGGAAGTTGGCAAACACTAAAGCTTCATTAAACATAATCTCTGCTGCTTTATTCTTCTCAATACTAATGTATCCAGTCCCAAGGGCAGGAAAAGAAATGGAAGTCACATTTAGCTCAAGGCATTTTTCCAAACATTTCGCCACTGCATATCTCAATCTCTGTAGGAAAAAAAACCCCACAATTTTAAATCAGCCTTCAAGCCAAAAATAAGACTTCACTTACCCTTTTGATCCAGCCCATATTTAACAATGCTAATCTCCATTCTCCCTCCCTCAGGGGCTTGTCCATGCTTCCTTAGAGGGCAGAAAAGGTCCCATTCCTTAGGGAACCCTTTACAGCTACAAGGTTAAATGATGATAAAAGAATGGGCCGAGGAAACTGGAGTAATTGAGTTGTCCTTTTTGTGCTATTCAGGGTCTTTGGGTACCATGATTTCTCCCAGCTTCCGTAGCCTTGCTGCCCTGCCCAGGCCAGAGAGCCAACCATCAGTTTAGCCTCACTCACCTGCTACTTCCAGGTCAACATAAAGAGCTCTTGGGAGTTTCATAAAGGAGGAGAGGTTAAAATAAGTAAGCAGCATTTATTCAATGTCATTAAGGTCTGTCTTGTAATTTCTCCTTGAGAAGTGCTAGTGTACTTGGCAGACTTAAACTTCCCATCAATGTTTCAACATCCAAATGGAATACTAATACAGGAAGGTTGTCTGTGGAAGGGCCTTGGAAAACTGAGGGGGCGGAGATGACTGGAGGACCAATTTGGGATTACAAGGCCCTCTAGCCCAGAAAGAACCAGAAATGGTGACAAAATATAGACAAAGGCAGGGAGAAAGACACTGCAGGTAATAGATTTGACCAGAATGGTGGTAGAGGGGAAATCCCAGGTCCTCCTGGAATTTAACAGATGGAGGGAAATGTGGAGAGGTTGGATCCTAGGCACGCTCAGGAAAAGGCCTAAAGAGTCAGTTTGGTGAGGTGAATGGATGTGCAGACTGATGTTTCTGTGTCTATTTGTGGTATGCCCACTTAAAATTTAGACATGTGTTAGGTAATATTTTAGATTAAACTTCTTAAGATAACTTACTAAGAGAACAGTTATTCAGTATTTCAGGTTTTCATAAGAGTGGTAGAAAATGGGGACTATACCACTTGATACTATTTCATGAATGCAATGACATAATGGAAATTCAACAAAGACTACACAGACTATCAAACTACATAAAGATAAATTTATTTTGACCTTACCAGATCTGGTGTAGAACAGCCTGAAGGCCACAACACATGGAAAACATACTGACAGAGCAGTTTATATCCTTTTGTGACCAGTACCAACTGGGAATCCTGAGATATCGGATGGCTTTTTAGGAGAAATTCCTTTTCCATGTCATCTCCTGCTTCTTGTAGAATTGATTTTGACACAAGACCACATCTAAGACCATGACTTGGATTTACAGAATTAACAATTACATCCGTCTGAAAGGAAAGAAATGGACAGGATTCCTTGTTAAATTACTTTTTGTTAAACGACTAATTCAAATATTTATTTCCCTGAAGAGCTTTGAAAAATACTTCTGAAGATCCTAAATCCACAAAGATATAATTTCATAATGAATGGAAACTCATATTTCCAAAGAGTGATCATTTGATTAGTCTGTTTATCCTATTCAGTAATTAGGTAAAGTGTGTGGATGACATAATTTTTTTTGCAAACACCTGTCAGCCCCTTGCTGGCTTATAACCCCGATAGCCTCAGATTCTGAGCATTCCCTGTGATTTATTTTAAGCTTTATCAATGAATGGTTTAATTCCCTGCCCCACTGTCATCTCTTTTTGCTATTTTTGTGTGAATTTTCCGTTTTGTTTTAAATAGAGTGAAACTAAAATTTCTCAGGAAAGTTCAACCTTCTATTTCCTTTAAAGGTGAATAGTACATGGTTTAAAAAAGTATAAATGAAACCAAAAAATCGTCAGTGAAAAGTAGGTCTCCCTCTTGATGGGGTCCCCAGACCCCCCACCCCCTCACCTATCCTACAGGCAACTGCTTTTACCAGTTCTTCATCTGTCCTTTTATCTGTACATTCACATGGGCTGTATTGTAAGTAATATCACCTAGTTAGCTCTAAGAACTGTGCTAAAAGGTTATATCCTTCCCCCCCCACTATGCCCATATCCCCCTAAATCATCCTGATGGTTTTGGCTCCCTTTGGGTGTAACTTAGGTATTTCTCATAGATGTTAATGAATGCTTCATTTCGTCTAAGCATTTTTTTTTTCTTTATGGACTTTAGAGAGAGAGGAAAGGAGAGAAAGAGAAAGATAGAAACATTGATGAGAGAGAACATCGAATGGCTGCTTCCTGCATACCCCCCACTGGGGATCAGGCCCACAACCTGGGCATGTGCCCTGACCGGGAATCGAACTGGCAACCTCTTGATGCATGGGTCGATGCTCAACCACTGAGCCACACCGGCCGGGCATTTCACTTTGAAAGTACAATCAGAATTTCCAATTTTGGGGAACTGGCCCCCTTTAAAAATTTTAAAGTTCCCAATGTTCTTGGCAATAGATAAATACAATAAAATTTTAGTTAAAGGAATACGTTATTCAACCAGGATGTTTCCACTTTAATTTTAAATTGGCATATTAATGACTTATCAAATAAATACAGTGGAACCTCAGTTCTTGAACTCAATTTGCTCTGTAAGGCTGTTTGGGAAGCGATCTGTTCAAAAACTAAATCACTTTTTCCCAATAAAAATAATATAAATTGAATTAATCTATTCCAGACCCCCAAATGATTTCCTGTTTTAACCTTTCTTATACACAGTACATGTCTAAGCTCTAACATTGTTCTTACAACTTTCCTTTTCTCTTTGCTGCAGTCACTAACCTTCTTAGGACCCATGGTGACTTACTGTATATATTTAATAATAATAAGCACCCAAAAAAGAAAAAAAAAAAAAAAACCCACGAAAATATTTACAGCACAATTTCCTGAGATGTTAACAACTCAAAGTTTAGCAGTAAACCAACTCATACTCATGCATTCTCTCCTTTGTTTGTCGCCTGAGAGAGACGCATGACTGATCATACGGACATCAGCATGAGAGGGTTCTCGAATGGAAGTTTTGTTCGGCAACCAAGACATTTTTCCATGAACAACTTGGTCGAGACCCGAACTGTTCGTCATGGGAGACATTCAAGAACCAAGGCTTGACTGCATTGCATTTTGTGGGAGTCCCCTCAGTTTTCTTTCTAATTGTCTTGCAGGTAGTACATGGTATTTTTTCACTTATGAGTAAGTCAATTTGATTATGGCCACAGGAGAGTCTTAAGTGTGACATCACTGATCCAATAAAGAAAGAGAATATAGCCTTACATTCTTTATCTTCCTCTGTAGCAGTCCCTGCTCCCTGCTTCCCCCTTCACTTATTCATCAGTAATTTGCTCAGCACCTAGAAGCATGCCCCAACTGAGCTCTGGGGCTACCGAAATGAACAAGCCATGACCCCCATCCTCAAGGTGCTCTCTACCTAGCAGGGGAGCTGCACAAACCCAAAATACCTAGGTTCACTGTTTCCCTGACTCCCTACCCTCCCTGCCAGAGCCCTCTCATTTGTGCCCAAGAAACCCTGGCTAACTGCTAAGTCACACTTTGTATCTTCTATGGCCCCTGGCATAGAGTCGTATACTCAGAATTCGACTTACAAGTCCACCTAAATCTCCTGACTGGTCCAGCCCATTATTTTCTTTCTATCATCCTCTGTGTCTCTCTGATCAAGTCATTCTAACAATCAGGCTATGCCTCCTGCCAAATCATATCTATCATAAGCTGAGATCACATCCAAAATTCTCATCTTCTAAAGTAATCTTTCTTGGTCCACTCCACCCTTGTCACCAATTGATATACTCTTAAATATTATGAATTCATTTTGTATTAAGACTTTTTTGTTTCCTATTGGTAGGTTGCTTCAGAAATGTTCAGATGGTCTGTCTCTCAATGAGATTTTTTTAAATAGAGAAATTTCAACACAGAAAGGGTATAATAGGTTTTAAGTTCCTTCATATCAAAGATTGTTTTATTTCCTCATGGTGCTTAAGAAAAACAGCAATATAGCTATAAATACTTATCATATGTCAAGCTCTGTTCTAAGCATTTAATGTGTATTGATTCCAATTCTAAGATATAAGTGTTATTATTATCCTCATTTTTCAGATGAGGAAACTGAGAACCAAAACATAAAGGAACCAGATTCACATCACCCAGTTAGTAAATGGCAAAGCTAGTATTCAAATCCAGATGGTCTGTCCCTAAAGTCCATGCTCTTAACCTTAACAAGATTAAATAGTGTCTGAAATAGTATAACTCTAGCCCTGTCTGGTTTGGCTCAGCAGTTGGAGCATTGGCCTGCGGTCCAGAGAGACTCGGGTTTGGTTCCCGCTGAGGGCATGTACCTCGGTTGCAGTTTATCCCTGGCCCTGGGTGGGTCGTGCGGGTGGCAGCCACTCGATGTGTCCCTTTCACATTGATATTTCAGTCTCTCTCTCTCCCCCTCCCACTCTATCTGAACAAAAGATGGAAAGGTGTCCTTGGGTGAGGATTAAAAAAAAAGAAAAGAAATAGTATATACTCCAAACATACTTGATAGGTAGTAAACAGTTCAGGGATCCCCTGTGGCAGTGCAAGAAAATAGAAACAAAGACTTACCTTCTGCTGTTCGATGTGGCCTTGGACAATCTGGAGAGTCATGTTGTTCAAAACCATCGTATTGTGAAGGATGGCTCCTTGACTCACCCCAGACCCCAGCTCACTGCTCCCTAGAATGACTTCTGCAGCACTTTTAAAGGCAGCAACAGTAGGGTCTTCATTGCTTACCAGGTGAATTTCTTTCAAATTACTGATTATTTGATTCCTTTGGAAATAAAACCTGATAGTATCCACAATGATCTTTGTACACAAATCCAGAGGGAACTGGAAAATCCCAGAGCTCAGGGCTGGAATTGCTACTGTCTCGGGGCACAGTGTGCTGAAGATGACAGATTCCAGAATATTTAAAATGGCCAGTTCCAGATTAGCCATACATATCTTTCTATTCATCTCTGACCACCGAGGCCCAACGGCATGGATAATGTATTTGCAGGGAAGCCTCCCTGCTCCTGTGATAGCTATTGAACCAGTTGGTACTTTACCATGTCTAGAAACAAATCTTGTACTCTCCTCTTGGATTTCTTCGCCGCCAGCTTTCACCAGGGCCTTGGCCAGGCCTCCCCCATGGCTAAGGTCTTCATTGGCTGCATTCACCACGACATCAACAACATGTCTGGTGAGGTCACCCTTCCAGACAGACAGCTCAAGCCCAGGAGTCAGCCTTTTTCTAAAGACTTGCTGAGACTTGCTGAGACTTTCTAAAGACTTGCTGTTACTTTCCTGGGCTGGAGAGACCAGGGTAGAGACACAGCCAAATTTATTCCGGAGAAATTCACACAGCCGACTCTCATTATTTTTTAAAATTTTGAAGTCGTCGTGATTAATGGGTATTTTCCAACTGTAGTTTTCCCCCAAATTATCAGTCTCTGGAATAGGAGAGGAGATTAAAAAATAAAAAAATAAGCAAGGATTCCTTTAAAAAAAATGTAATTCCACTTCACATCAGGAGACTGAGTGTCCCATATAAAAAAGAGAGATAAACTTCCTCTAGCCTCCTTCCTAACTTTCTTTCTCACCTAGATATGTAGTTAGACCAAGAATATCCAAGAGTTTTCAATGGTAAATCACCCATAAAGTGCTTAGTCTTGTGTCTGGAATATAGTAAATACTCCATAAGAGGTAGCTACTCTACTATGATACAACGATGGTGGTAAGAAAACTGTGTATGTGGTGTCTCATGGAAAGAACCATGTTTAGGGCCCAAATATTGAAAAGGACTTAATTATGAGTCAAAAACAAGTGGAGGCTTTATTCATAACTTGTTTGTCTAGTCTTAGTGCCTTAGTCTGGGTTCTCTTAGAAGCAGACTCTGAGACAAAGATTTGAGTGTAAGTTTATTTGGAGATTGATCCTAGGAAACACCTAGGAAATGGGAGGGCAGAGTGGGAAAGTAAGACAGAATAGGGAAGGAAAGAAATAAAGGATATGTTATGAAGCAAATGAAGCTTAATTCCACCAGGGGACAGCGTGTCTCAGAGTTATACCACCAGAAGGGAAAGGAGCTGGGATATTCTCGAGCTTCTCTCAGTCATTGGTCAAGGGTGCTCTGTGGAGGGCATAGTGCAGCAAATGGGCAGAATAGCATACTTCAGTTTTGTGAAATAATTTTAGTGAAATTAAGACTGATTGACTAAAAACTACTTACTGTATGTGGCAGACAGGAAGATGAGCTGCTCAGATCCCCCTTCATTGTGCTTATGAAGGAGAGAATACAGCCTCCCGTTGTTAGCCCCTCTGGGCTTTGTAGCCAAGGTCACGCTATTCTCAGGGTGGCCCCCATCAATGGCTGATCAAGGTCATTTATGTCCAATGTGGGACTTCCCTGATGGGCAATCTCAGGCTGGCAGAGCTTTGTCAGGTTTTCCTTCCAGTCCGATGGCTCTGCCTGCCCAATTCTGTTTCTTGTCTTTCCCTTTCACGATAACCCTTTTGCATTCCTGACTCCCTCTCAGTTTCTGCTTCTTTGGGAACCCAACCTGTGACACTGTATTTCATGGAATCTAAAACATCATCAATATTATTTTTAATCCTTACCCTAGGACATGCTTAGAGAGAGGAAGGAAGAGACAGAGAGAAACATTGATCAGTTGCCTTCCGTATGTGCCCTGACCAGGGATCGAACCCATAACCTTTCAGTGCAGAGGACTGATGCTCAACCAGCTGAGCCACTTTGGCTGGGCTAAAGCACAATTATTATATGCCGCTGAGAAAGGAAAAATAATGCCAATTAAACCATGGTGCACTATTGATTGATAGGTACAGTAGTAGCTTTATTTCAGAGATGTGAAAAACTATGCATCCTAAAATAGGTAAAATGTGGTAATTATATTTTACTTCAATTCCCATTTCTAATTTCAGCTACCTAGAAAGACCTCTGGTGGCTTTAATTATCTAAAAGAAGTAGTACATGAGTAGCCAGTTCCATCTGGCCTGCGCTTTGGTTGAAAATCTCAAGTGGGCTACCCTTAGGATTAGGCAGGTTCCATTCGTTGAGCAAGGGACAATCAGTACGTCACCTCTTCTGACCAATTTCTAGGGCTTTGGTCAGAAGCATCTCACATCTTATGAGCAAAGAAACGGATCAATGGGAACTCTAAGAGAACATGTCTGCTGCTACTCACTGCCTCTGAAGCTGTCCCCACAAGGTCCTGCAATCACGCACCTGAACACTTGCAGGGGTGACAGTCTCCTTCTGTATTTCCCTTTTTCCATGGAGAATAGACATGAGCAAAGACTTTCTGAAACAAGACTGAGAGTGAGGTGATCGTACCTGATTTCTCATTGTAAGCTGCTGCTCCAGGATCCTGTGAAAAATGAGAGTGGTTTAAAATAAAACTACAATTGAATGACTACAGATTACTGATAACACAGCCTAATGATCACAAAGCAACAGAAACTCTGCTAAAAGCCCTGGGTTTGCGGGTGAAGGGGAACAGTGTTTGTTTGTTTGTTTGTTTGTTTGTTTGATCTGTGTGCCTGAAACACTTGGAATACTAAATGTTCTAGCAAACACTGACCACACTTGAAACGGCTTTCCAAAGGCTTATGGAGTTTTTCTAGACAGAACAGAAGACATGGGGACATGAGCTGCCTCGGCTACACCTCTCCATCTACCAGTAAGGACCCACTTTCTACTGCTTGATTCATGACACAGGCCTGAATGTAGAATTTTAGTTAAACAAATGAGGTGTCTTTTCTCTAATTTTATTCTTCCTCCATATCCCTCCTCCCACCCCCATCCTGCAAAAGCAGAATTGCTGAATGAGTAGACAGAATCAAAATGATACTGAGGTCACATTTTTACAAATCATCCATCCTCTTGTTGCCTCTATTGATTAGATTGGCATATTTTTTATTTCTTTTGTCTCACATGATGAAAGAAGAAGTTTTTATTGGGCTTTTATGAATACCAAATAGGAGACTTAGATTTTTTTGCTGTTACAGGAAGAACTATTCATGTGCCGGTCAAAGATCATGATTTATATACATTTACATATAAGTACTTTTACCTTAGAAAAGTCCATCCTCCAGGAGGACCCTTGGGTCTTCAAATGTTTATACTCTGTTTTGCTTTTCTGAGCATAGGCTGCTGTTCCCAAATATGGTGGCCCACTTCTAGAAGTGAATACAAAGGATGCAATAAGCATTGACCAGCATCTCAGGGAGTTTGGTAAGAATGCATCATAGGAACACTAAACATGATTTCTGATCTTAAGCAGTTTTTAGTTTTACTGGTGAGAAGGCACTATTGTTTTGCTGCTGTAGATACTGTTCACCTTCTATCCTTTACAGAGTTACAACTGAAACCGTAATGGCAATTCAGAGAAGGCAAAGAGCCATGTGGGCTATGGTGAGAAACGCTTTATGGAGATGAGACTAGAATAAGACCTTGAAGGATGCAACAGGTTTCTACATAGTTAGAAGAGGAGAATGATACCAAGTGGTAAGACTGAGCACAGCATTCAACAAAACAATGAGGAAAAACCAGCTTTCTCAATGAGCATGAAGAACCCGCAAGAGTTTTTGAAGAAAGGAACTGTACTTATGCCTGTCAAGGGTGTGTGGAAAGAGTCTGTGATAAATTCCCTGATCTAATAAGAAAAGAAAATATTTGGATAAAAAATCAGAAACTCTGAAAAAACTATTTTAATGATTTTCCATCTAATAGGTAGAAAGGAAAATGTTTAATGACACAGTAGCCTACACTTGTTGTCCACATAGCTGCCAACAGACCTCTGAAATGATTTGTAATGCCTTTGCAATAAAAAAATTGTGTACAGCTAGCTACAGCATCAGAGCACTATTATTTTTTTAAATTAATTAATTAATTTTTGTTATAGATGTTTCTCCTTTTCCCCCCACTGATTCCCCCTGTGACCCCATTTCTGCCCTGTCCCCAGCTTTGTTGTCCATGCCCACTGTTCATGCACACATGCATATAAGTTCTGTGGTTTGTCTCTCCCCCACCATCCCCTCTTCTGGGGATTGTCAGTCTGTACCCCACTTCCATGTCTCTGGAAGTACCCCATTATTCAGACTGTTATGTTCATTATATTCCATAAATAAATGAGATCATATGATACTTGTCTTTCTCTGTTTGGCTTGTTTCACTTAGGATAATACTTTCCAGGTCCCTCCATGTCATCTCAAAGGATAAGAGATCTTTCTTTCTTACAGCTGCATAGTACTCCATTGTGTATATGTACCACTGCTTTTTTATCCATTCGTCTACTGATGGACATTTGGGCTGTTTCCAGATCTTAGCTATTGTAAATAGTGCTGCTACGAACATGGGGGTACATATATTCTTTCTGATTGGTGTTTCAGGCTTCTTAGGGTATATTCCTAGAAGTGGGATCACTAGGTCAAATGGCAGTTTAATTTTTAATTTTTTGAGGTAACACCATAGTGTTTTCCACAGTGGCTGCTCCAGTCTGCCTTCCCACCAGCAGTGTACTAGAGGCCCCTTTCCTCCACATTCTCACCAACACTTGTTGTTTGATGATTTGTTGATGGCGGCCATTCTGACAGGTGTGAGGTGATAACCCCACTGTTGTTTTAATTTGCATCTCTCTGATGATTAGTGATGTTGAGCATTTCTTCATATGTCTCTTAGCCATTTGTCTGTCCTGTTTGGAGAGATGTCTATTGAGTTCCTCTGTCCATTTTTTAATTGTGTTCTTTGTCTTGCTTTTGTCGAGTTGTATGAGCACTCTATATATATTGGAAATGAACCCCTTATCTGATATATCACTGGCAATTATGCTCTTCCATACAGTGGGTTTCCTTTCCATTTTGATGATTGCATCTTTTGCTGTGCAGAAGCTTTTGAGTTTGATGTAGTCCCACGTGTTCATTTTCTCCTTTGTTTCTATTGCCTTAGGTGATGTATCAGTGAAAATTCTGCTCCGTATGATGTCCGAAATTTTGTTGCCTATATTTTCATCTAGGACTTTTATGAATACACAAGTCACATTTAAGTCTTTTATCCATTTTGAGTTTATTCTTGTGTGTGGTGTAAGTTGATGGTCTAGTTTCATTTTTTTGCATGTAGCTGTCCAATTTTCCCAACACCATTTATTAAAGAGGCTGTCTTTACTCCACTGTATGCTCTTGCCACCTTTGTCAAATATTAATTGAGCATATTGTCTTGGGTCCATTTCTGGGTTCTGGGTTCTGTTCCACTGGTCTATATGCCTGTTCTTGTGCCAGTACCAGGCTGTTTTGATTACAGTGGCTTTGTAGTATAACCTGAAATCTGGTAATGTGATCCCTCCAGCTTTGTTCTTCTTTTTCAAGATTGCTGTGGCTATTCGGGGTCGTTTTTAGTTCCATATGAACTTTTGAAGTATTTGTTCTAGTTCTGTGAAATATGTCGTTGGTATTTTGATGGGGATTGCATTGAATCTATAGAGTGCTTTGGGTAATATGGACATTTTAATTATGTTAATTCTTCCAATCCATGAACAAGGTATGTGCTTCCACTTTTTTTATATCTTTCTCTATTTCTTTTTTCAATGGCCTGTTGTTTTCTGAGAATAGGTCCTTTATTTCTTTGGTTAAGTTTATTCCTAGGTATCTTAATTTTTTTGCCACAATGGTAAATGGGATTGTTTTTTTAGTTTCTCTTTCTGTGAGTTCATCATTGGTGTATAAGAATGCCATTGATTTCTTGACGTTAATTTTGTATCCTGCTACTTTGCCAAATTCATTTATTAAGTCTAGTAAATTTTTAATGGTGTCTTCAGATTTTTCTACATATAGTATCATGTCATCTGCAAATAATAACAGTTTCACTTCCTCCTTTCCAATTTGGATCCCTTTTATTTTTTCTTCCTGTCTGATTGCTGTGGCTAAGACTTCCAGTACTATGTTAAATAAGAGTGGTGAAAGTTGGCATCCTTGTCTTGTTCCTGTTCTTAAGGAAAATGTTTTTAGTTTCTGCCCATTGAGTATGATGTTGGCTGTAGGTCTTTCATATATGGCCTTTATTATGTTGAGATATGATGCCTCTATTCCCACATTGCTGAGTGTTTTTATCAGAAATGGGTGCTGGATTTTGTCGAATGCTTTTTTAGCATCTATTGATATAATTATATAATTTTTATCTTTCATTTTGTTTATGTGGTGTATCACATTTATTGATTTGTTAATATTGTACCAGCCTTGCATCCCTGGGATGAATCCCACTTGGTCATGGTGAATAATTTTTTTGATGTATTGCTGGATCTGATTTGCTAGTATTTTGTTCAGGATTTTGGCATCTATGTTCATCAGGGATACTGGCCTGTAGTTTTCTTTCTTTGTAGTGTCTTTTTCTGGTTTTGGAATTAGAATTATGCTGGCCTCATAAAACAAGTTTGGAAGTCTTCCTTCTTCTTGAATTCTTTGAAATAGTTTGAGGAGAATGGGTATTAGTTCTTCTTTGAATGTTTGATAAAATTCCCCTGTGAAGCCGTCTGGGCCTGGGCTTTTGTTTGCTGTGAGAGTCTTGATTACATCTTCAATTTCTTCTGTTGTTATTGGTCTGTTCAAGTTTTCTATCTCTTCCCGGTTCAGTTTTGGGAGACTATGTGTTTCTAGAAATGTGTCCATTTTGCTTAGATTGTCAAATTTGTTGCCATATAATTGTTCACAATATTTGTTAACAATGATTTGTATTTCTGTGGTGTCCGTTATTATTTCTCCTCTTTCATTTCTGATTTTGTGTATTTGGGTTCTCTCTCTTTGTTTCCTGGTGAATCTAGTTAAGGGTCCATCAATCTTGTTTATCTCTTCAAAGAACCAGCTCTTTGTTTCACTGATCCTTTGAATTGTTTTCTTGGTCTCCATGTTATTTATTTCTGCTCTGATCTTTACTGCAGAGCACTATTATTCTTACATGCCAAGAAAAATAGCAAGTCCAGTACAATCCTAAAGTGCAAGGACAAGATGCATTTTTGCCCCTAGAGGGCACTGCTCTTTTCACAAAAGAATGAAGTCTTCTGTGTCTGTTTTGGTAGTTGGCTTCCCATGGGCTTTTGCTTTGGTTTTGCACTTGTTTTTTCCTTTAGATCAGGCTTTCAAGGCATAGGAACAGACTTGAAGGGTGGGGAGTAGGGGCATATTTAACCCCAAAGAAATTAGAAACAAGGAGCATATTGCCCAAAACATACAATCTCTTCAATTTTCAAAACAACACCAATAACAACAAAAGCCTTCCCAATTTTCCAAAACTGGTTCCTACTGTGTTCTTTTCTCTGCATGGGCAGCATGAAGAAGTTGACTGTCCTCCACCCATCTGCCTGCTCAGCCCACTGCAGTGGGCTCCTGCCCACTCCCAGCGCTCCCCTGAAACCGCTCATCAGTGTCCTCCATGCAGTTAATCCCAAGAGACTCTCTCCTGTCCTAATCTTTACTTGACCCCTTTCTATAGTTATTTCATTCTTTGGGTCCCAAAACTCTGCTTTTTTAGCTTCTCCTGTGTCATCTTCCTTTGGTTCTTTTTTTTTTTTTTTTTTTTTTTTTTAATCCTCATCCGAGGACATTTTTCCATTTTTTGTACAGACAGTGTGGGAGGGAGAGAGAGGAAGAGAGAGAGAGGGAAACATCGATGTGAAAGGGACACATCAAGTGGCTGCCACCCGCACGACCAACCAGGGCCGGGGACAAACTGCAACCAAGGTACATGCCCTTAGCGGGAACCGAACCCGGGTCTCTCCGGACCGCAGGCGGACGCTCTAACCGCTGAGCCAAACCGGCCAGGGCTTCCTTTGGTTCTTTTGTTACCTTTTACTTTACCTTTATAGGCCTTTTGCCCGTATTCACCTTCCGACCCTCACCCAACCCCTCTAAAAACCATGCTTTTTTTCTTGGACTCCATAGTTCAATAAACGGCGCACCATTTATCCCCTCAAGTCAGAAATCTAGACTCTTCACTTGTCCCATAGTCAGCCCATCAATTAGGTCCAAACACCTAATTCACTTATGCCCTTAACCTCCTTGCCCACTGACTACTTCGGGGCCTCAGGGCCTCTTGCCTGAGCTATGTCAAAACATTCTCTTTAAAGATTTAAATGTATTTAATTTTACTTTTTATTGTTTAAATAGGTATATTATGTTTACCGGTTCAAATTCAGAAGTGTGAAAGGCTCTCTCCTATCCCTAACTACAGAATCATAAAGTCTATGCAGTAGTAATTTTGATAGTACTGCCAAAATGCTCTCCACAAAGACTGACCCACTTCCAGTCTTACCAGTCACGTGGAAAAAACCTTATCTCTGGCCTCAGTGCCTCCATTTATACCAGCTTGCAAATATGTCCTCCACATGGTGGTCAACACCATCTTTCCAAATTGCACATCTCACATGTCACTCTCCTGCTTCCCCTGATCACAAACCTTCCATTTCTCCCCACTGATCTTCAAAACCTTTCACTGTCTAGACCTGTGCTATCTGTCCAGTGTGGGCCATTAGCCACATGTAGCTCTTGGTCTCTGGAAATGTGGTTAGTCCCAACTGAGATGTGACATAAGTGTGAGATAAACCCTGGATCAAAAAGACTCAGTATGACAAAAAGGATATAAAATATCTCAAAAGTTTTTTAACATTGATTATATGATGAATGATTAATTTAGGATATATAAAATGATTAAATTTAGGATATATTGAGTTAAATAACATCATTAAAATTAATTTCACTTGTTTATACTTTTAAAAATAGGGCTCATAAAAAATTTTTAATTAGATATTTGTTTTCATTATATTTGTACTGGACAGCACTGATCTAGCCCTTTCCTCCATCATGTCCCTCACCATCTCGACTCCTCCAGGACCCCAGGGCTCCTCTGTGCTTCAGATCACAATGGTCCCTGTGTCTCAGATGCGCACACACACACACACACACACACACACATCACCACCACCCTCAAGATTCTGCTTTAAATCTCCTCCTGGAGGCCTTCAAGAGATTTGCCTCTTTATTCCCAAGTCCACCTTCCTTGACTAGCCGGGGAAGTGGGGGTCTTCATGCTCATCTTTATTCCCGAGTACACTGGACAGGGAAACGGTCCATACTGTTGGTTAAATCAAGGAATGACGGCAGAAAGACCCCAAGAGCCAGTCTAAAGGATGGAGTTGGAGGGAGTAACAGGTGATTGTCATAATACAAGTGAACAATTTAAATTTTTTTTTAAAAGGCAGGTACTAATCTGAATTCCGAATGGGAATTACATTTTAGCTGCATATAATGGTAACCAGAAGTGTTGGAAGGAATCACAGACTCAGGAGAAACTTTGACTTCCGAGTCTGACCATTCCCATCCTCACATGGGGGGCCTGGCCCAGGGGCTCTGCGGCCCGCATCCCGCCCGCCCAAGCCCAAGCAGCCCGCACGCGGGAGAGGGGAGGCCAGGGCGTCGGGCGCCCACCGCCCCGGAGGACGCGGGAGGGGACTTACTCACCCAGCGGCCGGCTGAACAGAAGCTGCAAGCAGAGGAGGGGGGCCGGCTGTGCCGGGAACAGGGAGGGATCTCCGGGAAAGCGAAACTGAAACTTTGCGGCCCCAGGCGGCGGGGCGGGACGCACCCTTGACTCAGTCCAGGCCTAGCAACGTCCGGAGCCGCTGCGCCAGCCCGACGCCCAGAACCATGGCCTCGACCCCCTGCCGGCCGTCCCCGCTGCTTGTGCGGGTGTCCGAGGCCGGCCTCCCTTTAAAACTACATCGGAAGCTGGAAACCTACTTCCAGAGCCGGCAGTCGGGCGGCGGGGAGTGCACCGTCCGAGCCCTGGGCCCCAGCGACCCGGGCACCTACCAGGTGGAGTTCTTGGAAAGGACAGGTGAGCTGCAGGCTCGGGCTGCGAGTGCAAAGGTCGTCCCTGGGGCCCAGCCTCGCGGGGTTCCAGGCAGACCCTGTGCGAGGCGGCGGGAGGAAGTATGGCACTGTCTGGTGGGGGGACAGGAACCGGGGGCTCTTGCTGCCAAGAGACAGACCACAGTGGAGGATAGAGCCCAGAGGTGCCCAGTCCATGATCTGTCCTGACTGCACCTTAAGGCCTGCCACCCCTTGCCATTTAGGTATTCCACTTTTATGTTTTAAATAACTAATTAATTAATTTATTTTTGAGAATTACAAAAATAATATATGCACCCTATGGAAAAGAGAAAAAATGAAAAAGAAGAATACCTGGAGATAATGTGAATATTTTGGTATATTTCTTTCAGCCTTTTTTTTTTTCTGTATTGATTTTTAGAGAGAGGGAGAGAGAGAGAAACATCGATGAGAGAGAACATAGATTGGCTGCTTCCTGCATGCCCACCAATGGGGATAAAGCCCACAACCTGGGCATGTGCCCTGACCAGGAATCTGTCTGGCAACCTCTTGATGCATGGGTCGATGCTCAGCTACTGAGCCACACTGGCTGGGCTCAGCCTTTTTGGATGGTCAGTAAACACATATGTATATTTATAGAATTCTGAATCTGTACTGTTGACTCCTTGTTTTTTTTTTGTTTTTTTCCAGTCCACTTTATATGAGTATTATTCCATATGGTTGGAAAGGGAAATCAAAAGTTTCAGAGACATGACTTTTTAGGAGTTGTTGACGTTCCATTATCATTGAGCTTTCATTTATACAGTACAACTGAAACTATGCACTTGAGAGTTGTGAATAGCTCCCTCACATCCTCTGTCACCAACCCACCATCCCAGCATGCAGTGAGCAGCCCTTACTGGGTGGGTGCTTGGGCAGGGTACAGATGCCTGAGTAAGAGGATTCTTTGAAATCACTCCCATGTTTATGTGTATGTGTGTTTGATGTCTTCACTGAAGCTAAGGAGGGAGTGTTGGAAAAAAAAATGCACCAAATTTTCGTTGACAACAAACCTGTGACTATTTTCCTGGAACCCACTGAAAATCCAATGGAGAAGAATATGAGACCTGGAATGTCTCAAGTGCACACACTGTCACAAAAAGGGGCGAGGTCTGATGAGAAGCTTCCAAATGAAGAACATATTCCTAATGCAGTGGATTCCTGTGTCCAAAAGGTGAGACTTGAAAGAAGGAGCTAGGTATGCACTTGCAACTCCCTCTCCAGTCATCATACCTTTCCTTATTGGCCCAACAACCATTGTCTGATTCCTGGCTATGAGCCAGGCACTGTTTAGGCACTGGGGCACAAAGGACAACAGGTCCCTGCTGGGGGTGAGGAGGGACATAGAAGGACAATAAGCAAGTTAAACCAAATAAAACAATTTTAGAGAGTGATACGTGACTTAGTGACAGAGCCAGGGAGAGGAAGGGGAAAGAGGTCGTGCTACTTCTGACCAGGAGTCAGAGACAGATTCTTTGAGGTGACATTTGGCCTGAGACGGAGCCAGCGATGCAGAGTCATTTCATAAATCAATATCAACTGCCTACTGTGTGCCAGGCACTGTCACAGGAACTGGGGATACAGCCAGGAACACAGCAGACCCTGCCCTCGGGGACCTTACATTCTAGTGAGGGAAACAGGCACTAACAGTAAACAGATTTATAACAAAATGTCTGCTGGTGATAAGTGCTAGGAAGAAGAATAAAGCTGGACAGTGACAGTGACAGGACCACTACTTTAGGATATCAGGAAAAACCCTCTAATAAGGTAACATCTGAGTAGAGACATGCATGAAGTAAGGGAGCTAGCTAAGTGGATTTCTGGGGGAAGAATGTTCTAGACAGAGGGAAGCACAAGAGCAAAAACCCCAAGATAGGAGCTTACGTCCCAAGCCTCAGGAGCTTCAAGGAGGAAGGCCAGTGTGGCTAGAGGGCAGTGAACAAGGGAGATATGAGAGGAACTTGGAGAGGTACACAGAAGTCAGATTTTGGGGGATGAAGGTAAGGACTTTGGATTTTCGCTTAAATGTTAGGGAATTGATCAGATGGTTTTGAGCCAGGAATGATCTATGTCTCTAAAGGATCACTTTGGCCCTGGCCGGTTTGGCTCAGCGGTTAGAGTGTCGGCCTGCGGTCCAGAGAGACCCGGGTTCGGTTCCCACTAAGGACATGTACCTCATTTGCAGTTTGTCCCCAGCCCTGGTTGGTCGTGCGGGAGGCAGCCACTCAAAGTGTCCCTTTCACATAAATGTTTCTCTCTCGCTCTTCCTCTCTCTCCCTCCCACTCTATCTGAACAAAAAATGGGAAAATGTTCTCGGGTGAGGATAAAAAAAAAAAAGGACCACTTTGGCTGTTGTTTGGATAACTGATTGTAAGAAAGGGCTAGAGTGGAAGGTCAGAGCCCAGTTAGGAGGAGATGCAGTGGGCCAGGTGCAAGATGATAATGGCTTGGACTCCAGGTGGTCCTGATGGAGGTGTGAGAAGTGGCTGGATTCAGGAAACATTTTGAAGGAAGATCTGGAAGGAGGATGGTACATGCAGAGGAAATAGCATGTGCAAGGACCTCGAGGGAGAACAAAACATTAGAAATCTTGCTTTTTTTATTCCATTCAATTTGCCCATCTTTTCTTTTTATTTTATTTTATTTATTTATTTATTTATTTTTAAATTTATTTATTTATTTTTTGTTACAGATGTTTCTTCTTTTTTACCCCATTGGCACCCCCCTCCCTACCTCACACCCGCCCCGTCCCTGGCTTTGTTGTCCATGTCCATTGGTTATGCATACATGCATATAAGTTCTGTGGTTTCTCTCTTCCTACCCCACCCACCCCCTCTTCTGACGGATGTCAGTCTGTGCCCTACTTTCATGTTTCTGGGTCTACCGTATTCCTCAGACTGTTATGTTCATTATATTCCATATATAAGAGAGATCATGTGGTATTTGTCTTTTTCTGCTTGGCTTATTTCACTTAGGATAATACTTTCCATGTCGTATCAAAGGATAAGAGATCTTTCTTTCTTACAGCTGCATAGTACTCCATTGTGTATATGTACCACTGCTTTTTTATCCATTCTTCTACTGATGGACACTTGGGCTGTTTCCAGATCTTAGCTATTGTAAATAGTGCTGCTATGAACTTGGGGGTACATATATTCTTTCTGATTGTTGTTTCAGGCTTCTTAGGGTATATTCCTAGAAGCGGGATCACTGGGTCAAATGGAAGTTCAATGTTTAATTTTTTGAGATAACACCATATTGTTTTCCATAGTGGCTGCACCAGTCTGCATTCCCACCAGTAGTGTATTAGAGTCCCCTTTTCTCCACACCCTCGCCAACACTTGTTGTTTGATGATTTATTGATGGCAGCCATTCTGACAGGTGTGAGGTGATACCTCATTGTTGTTTTAATTTGCATCTCTCTGATGATTAGTGATGTTGAGGATTTCTTCATATGTCTCTTGGCCATTTGTCTGTCCTGTTTGGAGAGGTGTCTATTCAGCTCCTCTGCCCATTTTTTAATTCGGTTCTTTGTCTTCCTTTTGTTGAGTTGTATGAGCACTCTATATATATTGGAAATTAACCCCTTATCTGAAACATCATTGGCAATGATGTTCTCCCATACAGTGGGTTGCCTTTCCATTTTGATGATTGCATCTTTTGCTGTGCAGAAGCTTTTTAGTTTGATGTAGTCCCATGTGTTCATTTTCTCCTTTGTTTCTATTGCCTTAGGTGATGTATCAGTGAAAATTTCCTCCGTATGATGTCTGAAATTTTGTTACCTACATTTTCTTCTAGAATTTTTATGGATTCATGGGTCAAATTTAAGTCTTTTTATCCATTTTGAGTTTATTCTTGTGTATGGTGTAAGTTGATGGTCTAGTTTCGTTTTTTTGCATGTAGCTGTTCAATTTTCCCAACACCATTTATTAAAGAGGCTGTCTTTACTCCACTGTATGCTCTTGCCACCTTTGTGAAATATAAATTGAGCATATTGCCTTGGGTCCATTTCTGGGTTCTCAGTTCTGTTCCACTGGTCTATATGCCTGTTCTTGTGCCAGTACCAGGCTGTTTTGATTACAGTGGCTTTGTAGTATAACCTGATATCTGGTATTGTGATTCCACCTACTTTGTCCTTCTTTTTCATAATTGCTGTGGCTATTCGGGGACTTTTTTGGTTCCATATGAACTTTTGAAGTGTTTGTTCTAGTTCTGTGAAATATGTCATTGGTATTTTGATGGGGATTGCATTGAATCTATAGATTGCTTGGGTAGTATGGACATTTTAATGATATTAATTCTTCCAATCCATGAACAAGGTATGTGCTTCCACTTTTTTATATCTTCCTCTATTCCTTTTTTCAATGTCCTGTAGTTTTCTGTGAATAGGTCCTTTATTTCTTTGGTTACGTTTATTCCTAGGTATCTTAATTTTTTTGCCGCAGTGGTAAATGAGATTGTTTTTTTGATTTCTCTTTCTGTGAGTTCATCATTGGTGTATAAGAATGCCATTGATTTATTGATGTTAATTTTGTATCCTGCTACTTTTCCAAATTCATTTATTAAGTATAATAGATATTTGATGGAGTCTTTAGGGTTTTCTATGTATAATATCATGTCATCTGCAAATGACAGTTTCACTTCCTCCTTTCCACTTTGGATCCCTTTTATTTTTTCTTCATGTCTGATTGCTGTGGCTAAGACTTCCAGTACTATGTGAAATAAGAGTGGCAAAAGTGGACACCCCTGTCTTGTTCCTGTTCTTAATGGAAATGTTTTTAGTTTCTGCCCATTGAGTATGATGTTGCCTGTAGCTCTTTCATATATGGCCTTTATTATGTCGAGATATGATCCCTCTATTCCCCCATTGCTGATAGTTTTTATCAGAAATGGATGCTGGATTTTGTCGAATACTTTTTCAGCATCTATTGATATTATCATGTGGTTTTTATTCTTCATTTTGTTTATGTGGTGTATCACATTTATTGATTTGTGAATATTGTACCAGCCTTGGATCCCTGGGATGAATCCCACTTGGTCATGGTGAATAATTTTTTTGATGTATTGCTGGATCTGATTTGCTAGTATTTTAAAAGTTCAGGATTTTGGCATCTATGTTCATCAGGGATATTGGCTTGTAGTTTTCTTTCTTTGTAGTGTCTTTTTTGGGTTTTGGAATTAGAATTATGCTGGCCTCATAGAACGTGTTTGGAAGTCTTCCTTCTTCTTGAATTCTTTGAAATAGTTTGTGGAGAATGGGTGTTAGTTCTTTTTTGAATATTCAGTAAAACTCCCCTGTGAAGCCATCTGGGCCTGGGCTTTTGCTTGCTGGAAAGTCTTGATTACCTCTTCAATTTCCTTAGTTGTTATTGGTCTGTTCAAGTTTTCTATCTCTTCCCAGTCCAGTTTTGGGAGACTGTGTGTTTCTAGAAATTTGTCCATTTCACTTAGATTGTTGAATTTGTTGCCATATAGATGTTCATAGTAGCTGTTAACAATCTTTTGTATTTCTGTGGGGTCGGTTGTTACGTCTCCTCTTTCATTTCTGATTTTGTGTATTGGGGTTCTCTCTCTTTGTTTCTTGGTGAGTCTAGCTAAGCGTCCATCAATCTTGTTTATCTTTTCGAAAAATCAGCTCTTTGTTTCATTGATACTTTGAATTGTTTTTTTGGTCTCTATGTCATTTATTTCTGCTCTGATTTTTACTATTTCCTTTCTTCTACTTGCTCTGGGGTGCTTTCTAATTCTTTAAGTTGTGAGGTTAGAGAGTCAATTAGAAATTTTTCTTGTTTCTTGAGGTAGGCCCGTAGTGCTATGAACTTCCCTCTCAGAAATGCTTTCGCTGCATCCCATAGATTTTGTGTTGTTGTGTGTTCATTTTCATTGGTTTCCAGGAAGTTTTAAATTTCTTCCTTGATCTCCTCAGTAACCCATTCATTGTTTAATAACATGCTATTTAGCCTCCATGTGTTGAAATGTCTTTGCATGTTCTTGTTGCAATTGATTTCTAGTTTCATGCCATTGTGATCTGAGAAGATGCTTGATATGATTTCAATCTTCTTGAACTTGTAGAGATTTAGTTTGTGTCCTATCATGTGGTCTATCTTTGAGAATGTCCCATGTGCACTTGAGAAGAATGTGTATTCTGTAGTTTTGGGGTGTGATTCTCTGTAGATATCTATTAAATCCATTTTGTCTAGTGCTTCATTTATTGTCTCTGTTTCCTTGCTAATTTTTTGTCTAGAGGATCTATCCAGTGTTGAAGTCAATGGGGTGTTGAAGTCCCCTACTATGATTGTATTGTTGTCGATTTCTCCTTGGAAGTCCTCCAAAAGATTTTTAATATATTTTGGTGCTCCTATATTGGGTGCATATATGTTTATCAAGGTGATATCTTCCTGTTGGATAGATCCTTTCAATATTATGTAGTGGCCTTCTTTGTCTCTAGTTATGGCAATCATTTTGAAATCTATTTTATCAGATATGAGTATTGCTACCTGAACTTTTTTTTGCTTTCCATTTGCTTGGAAAATTTTTTTCCATCCCTTCACTTTCAATCGATGTGAGTCTTTTGTTGTGAGGTGGGTCTCTTGTAAACAACATATAGACGAGTCTTGCTTTCTTATCCAATCAGCTACTCTGTGTCTTTTTATGGGAGCATTCAATCCATTTACATTGAAGGTGATTATTGATATGTACTTATTTATTGCCATTTTTGTTCAGTGTGGTTCTATTTTTCTTCCCATTTCTCCTGCTAATTACAGCAGTCCTTTTAACATTTCTTGAAGTGCTGGTTTGGTGCTAATGTATTCCCTTAGCCTTTTTTTGTCTGGGAAGCTCTTTATTTGACCTTCTATTTTGAATGATAGCCTTGCTGGGTAGAGTAGTCTTGGATTCAGATCCTTGTTTTTCATGACCTTGATTACTTCATGCCATCCCCTTCTGGCCTGTAGTGTTTCTTGTGAGAAGTCAGCTGAGAGCCTTATGGGGTTTCCTTTGTAGGTAACCTGTTGCTTATCTCTTGCTGCTTTTAGGATTCTCTCTTTGTCTTTAATTTTTGGCAGTTTGATTACTATGTGTCTTGGTGTGGGTCTGTTTAGGTTCTTCTTACTTGGGGCTCTCTGTGCTTCTTGAACTTGAATGCCTTCTTCCCTCACCAAATTAGGAAAGTTTTCTGTCACTATTTTTTTGAATATATTCTCTAACCCTTGCTCATTTTCTTCTTCTTCGGGGACTCCTATGATGCGAATATTATTACGTTTCCAGTTGTCCCACAGTTCTCTTAAGCTGTCTTCCTGTTTTTTTATCGTTTTTTCCTTTTGGTTTTCTGATTGGTTGATTTTTTCTACCCTGTCTTCTAATTCACTGATCCGGTCCTCAGCTTCCTCTACTCTGCTTTTTAAACCTTCCAATGTGTTTTTCTTTTCTGATATGTCATTTTTTATCTCTTCTTGATGGTTTTTAATTTCCAATTGGCTTATTTTCAGTGTCTCTATGTCCTTACTCATGCTGTTCAGCTTCCTCAAGATCATGGCTCTGAATTCTAGCTCTGTTAACATGCCTAACTGCTCCACATTGATCTCATCTTCGGTGGAAGTCTCTTGCTCTTTCATTTGGCTTCTGTTTCTGTGTTTCACCATTTTGGCTATCACAGTGGCCTTTGGAGCCTGTCAAGTTTTCCCTGTGGGTGTTGGTGTTCTGCTGTTTGTGACTCCCTCTCCTGGGTTTAGATGAGCCAGGGAGGACCCACGTTAACACCGCTGTCAAGTCTTACTTTCCTGGTTAAAGTTGCTAGCCCAGGAAAGGTACTCTTATCCTGTAGCTTTTTGCCTGGAGGCTAGCAATTGAGGTTACTTGATGGGTTTTGGGTTATCAGTTGATGGAAAACTCCCTCAGGTGCTCAGCAGAAGGGGATTTCATGAGGGTGGGGCAGATGCTGGTTGTTAATGAGCCTTAATTAGCACTTCAGTGGCCCACAGGGTGGGGTTGGATCTCCAAGGGAGGGGCTGCTGCCTCTCCCCTGAGCCCTGGGAAGGAGCAATATGGCCATCGTCCTGTGTGGCTGCCACTCAGCAAAAGCTCTGAGTACCCTCCAAATCCTGAGTGTCCCAACACAGCTCCAGTCCAGTCTGCCCTCCCTCTGCCGGAGCCCAAGGTGAGTGGCTGTGGCTGTTTCAGCCTCTGTCCAGGCTCTGCGCTGTGGAGCCGCCTGGGAGTGTAACCCGAGGGCACTGCTCCCAGCTAAGGCCGCTGCCGAGCTGCTGACCGTGGGCTCCCAGCCCCGTCTCGCGCCTTCGAAAGCCTACCAGGATCAAGTCAGTGTCCCTGGTTATATGGTCCTCACAAGCTGCTTTTCTGTTGGTTTTTCCCGTCGATTTGTCTGTGTTATAGTTGTAATTCCAATTTGGTTCTGGGAGACGGTCTGTGTAGCTTCTGTTTACTCTGCCGCCATTTTGGAATCCCAGGCCCATCTTCTCTTTATCTAAGTTTGTTGTGCTTGCCTTACACTTGACCTACTGAAGACTAGGGTTTAGAGGGCCCAGCAACATTGCATGCTCTTAGGTATTTAGTTTAAAAAAAAAAAAAAAAAAGAAGGTTGAAGACTAGAAAAAACAGTGATAGGAAAGAACATCCTGCTCAGATTTATGGCTCCTTTCCAGGCTCACAGACTCTTTTGTGAGAACCATAGCAGCTTGCCTGGAAAGACAAAATGAATTCCCTCCACCCCATCCCCCAAAGTCAAACAGATAGTGGCAGCTCTAGAATCCAGACTGCTTGTCCACAGAGCCTTTAAAAAAGGCTCCTGCCCAGGCTCTACATTTATATCAGACTCTTTGGAGATGTGCTTCGGCTTTGCCTTTGTTTTCTCTCTTAAATTCCCAGGTGATTCTAAGGTGCAGACAGGGCTGAGAACCTCTGGACTATGATGTGCTACATCCTCTGTGAAAAGGATTTGAAAGTCACCCTCTGCTAAGGGAGGAGATAGTAGTTGTTTCTCTAGTCTTTAGACACTTTCCTGAGAGGAGACTGTAGGCCTGGATGTCTGAGAGATTTCATTTGTTCCTTTTAAAATTTCAGATCTTCCTCACTGTCACAGCCGACCTGAACTGCAACCTGTTCTCTAAAGAGCAGAGGGAACGCATAACCATTCTCTGCCCCAATGTCAAAAAAATGGAGGGCTATGATGGAATTGAGAAGGTGTGTGGGGACTTCAGAGACATTGAAAAAATACATGGTTTCTTGAGTGAGCAACTCCTAAAAAGTGAGCGGAAACACGAATCATCCCCTTTGACAACAGAGAGGGAGCCACTCCGTCAGCAGGACCTGGATGGCTGTGTTTCTCCCTCTGAACCAAAAACCAAGTCAGCAGGAAAAAGCAATCATTTTGTAGTTCCCTTGCCTCACTTTGAATACTTCACCTATACCTCTCCTGGAATATTGGACTCAATAGAGAAAAGATTTGGTGTAAAAATAAAAACCCAGGGGAGTTCTCCGAATATGATCTCCATAGACTTCACCTCAGGTCAATCAGACAGCCTCAGTGCAGCTCAGGAGTCTTTCATCACTGACTTTCAGAAGAGCACAGGAACTATTGGGCAGGATTGTGTTGCATTAGCAGACGGTACACAGGCAAATAAAATCAAACAGGAATTGAGTCACCAGTTTAAAAAGCTTTTTATAAAGGAGAATGGAGGAGCATTAACTCTCCTTGGGACTCCAGAGGACATTTCAGCTGCCAGACAGTTTCTTGCCTCCCAAATCTCTGAAAGTCTTGTCAAGGCACCCGTGAAAATATTGACTCCCAAGTGCATGACGAATGGAATTGAAGTTGACACGGCTCACTATAAACTTTTAGAAGCTGAATTACTCCGGGAGATATCAGAGATAGAAAAAAAATACAACACTCAAAGCAAGGTTTTGGGAAAAGGTCAGAAAACCTGCATTCTATTTGAACCTAGGGACAAGAAGTTAGATCTGTCTGTGCATGCTTATGTAAGTTTCATCGATGCCTATCAACATGTTTCTTGTCAGCTGATGAAAGAAGTTCTTTCACTGAAACTTTTGGGCAAGGAGAGAAAGAACTTATATGGGACCAAATTCACTGATAACTTTAGAAAAATGCATGCAGGTGTACACTTTGTGCCAAATCAAGAGTCAATGACTTTTATTGGGTTGCCAAATCCCCTTGCAAAGGCAAAGCAGTATGTCTTAAAAACAGGGGGAATATCCCCATTAACTGGAGAGAAATCGAATGAGAATCATGAAACACCCATGGACATTGATAGTAATGAGTCAGCAACAGCTTTACCAACATCCCAGAGCTCTGCCAGTTCTGGGGCATCAGGAGTGGACAAGGAAGAGGACATATGTATCATCTGTATGGAGCTCATTAGTAACCAGCTAGTGCTATCAAAGTGCAAGCACAAATTCTGCACCCCTTGTATCAACAAAGCCCTGACATATAAGCCAGTCTGTCCTGTGTGCAACACTTTCTACGGTGTCCAGAAAGGGAATCAGCCAGAGGGAACCATGAGTGTCAGTTACCAAAAAACTTCACTTCCAGGTTATGAAAACTGTGGCTCCATTGTGATTACGTATAACATGAACGGTGGCATACAAACAGTAAGTGTTTGTGAGATCCATGGGTTTCCTTCCAGTGTGTTAGGATTACCAGTGCAAAAGATACTGTGCAGTTGCCAGTTAGTGCATTTCCCAGGGACTTAATTTCCATGGTCATGTGCAATGGCTTTAAGTAATGATACAGGTAGCAATGTTTGCTTATAACTTATCTTTTGCATCTATTCAGGGAGATAAAGGGTGGGTGGTGATTATGCATTAGGGTGGAGGGGATCAGGAAGGTAGGTCGTGTTCCCAGCATGAATTTAGGGTAAGAAGAGAAATATGAATTATTGGGAATTTGAGCAAACCTTCAAAACTTTTTTTGTTTTTGATTTGCTCTATTTGCAAATGAACACATCTATCTTGTATAGTACACCTTAGACTCAGAGTGTCCTCATGTGACATTGTTTTGTCCTCACACAGAAAGAGCACCCAAATCCAGGAGTACGATATCCTGGAATACATCGAAATGCGTATTTGCCTGATAATGAGGAAGGAAATGAGGTTTTGACACTGCTTCGTAAGGCATTTGACCAAAAGCTAATTTTCACAGTGGGGGAGTCTCGAGTTTCAGGTTTGTCAAATGTCATCACATGGAATGATATCCACCACAAGACATCCCAGTTTGGGGGACCAGACAGGTGAGAACCTTTTGAAATGCTAAACAGAATTTAGAGGTTATAAACTATGGAAACTTGAGGATATGGCTAGAAGGGACGCTTTATAGCAGCGAGATTGGATATAGTCCAGTATTTTGAGAGATGTTAATCTCAAAGGCAAAAAGATTGGTTTCTATCACCTTCTACTCTCCCAACCACAATTTAGCATACAATTGCTAAATTTTGCATCAAAAGGCAGGGGTCTTCAGAATCCAAGATCAATGATATCTCAGATGACTTGATTTGAGGGTTCCTGTTTGTTTGAAAGGTAGATCCTAGGAATGTTATTTCCCTTTCTTCTTTTAAGATCATTCTTCTACCATCTCTTCCCATCGATCCACAGAGATCCGAAATTCAATTGGCTAATAGTACTCTAGAAAAACTCTTATTTAATGTTGTGGAAGTTGTATTGTAGGCAACCCAATATTCTTTGTGAAATTCAGATAGAAACCTCAGACCCTTAGTATTCAAAAGAGTCCTGAGATTTTTTGCAAATGTTTTAAATTTGAAAGCAAATATAGCATATACTACATTTATATATATAAAATATATATACATTTTTATATATAACGTTTTTTTTTTTAAATATATATACTTCTAGTATAGTATAACTTTATGAGAGTCACTGCTTACCATGAGCTGAAAATAAAAAAGTCTTGTTGGAAGGCAGATCCTAGAGAGACAGGTAGGCTCACTCACTAGCTAAATGACACACATTTACACACTTAAAATTATTATTATTACTGATCTGCCTCCAGGATTGCTTGCTAATGTCTGTAACACAAGGTTAATGTCAGGGACCTGCTGTACAGATTCTTTAAAACCATGTGTGATGAAGCTAAAGAGACTTTTCCTCATGCAGGTATGGCTACCCTGATCCTAATTATCTGAAACGCGTCAAGCAGGAACTGAAAGATAAAGGAATTGAGTAAGAAAACTGCTGGAAGGATATCTTGAGCCAAGCGTTCAAAAGACACAGATGAAGAAGTGGAATAAATATCATTCTGAAGCCTAATGTAGAAACAGCTTTTAAAATGCTCATCTCAAGGGGGTTCCCGTAAGAGTAAGAATCTGATAGTCTCATTTCTGGAGCGTTGTTTTTTATGGAAGATAAATACCCCAAAGATCGGTGTGATTTTTGCCGCAGAGATGGTGTGACTCATTCTTGTGTCATCGTTGTGGGGAGAGGAGGGTGGAGTGCTATGGGTCTGAAATCATCAATATTCTTCCGTTGAAATATTAGCTGCCAATTAATCCTCTTTTATTACTATCTCTGGGGTGGTCCTTTAGTTTTCTGTTTGTTGGTTGGTTGGTTTGCCCTTTAAGTACCCTAAAGGTAAAATCCGAGTGTGAATAGGGGAGGATGGGACAGGGGAGGCTTTGGTTATGGAGAATTAAAAGACCCATCTTCTCCCCCCCTTTGGCCAGGAGCAAAGATTGGGCACCTTCAGTAATAAATAGTATAAGGCTATTATTTTTCATAACACAGAGCCATATATATATATAGTTGATGCTTAATAAATTTTTGCTGCCTGACTCTGGGTGCTAATACCCCAGCAGAGGGATATATGCTTCCTAAATCTTTAGCAGAGGCAGGAGTAAGGAAGCCATTTCTGGAGTCCTCACCAGTGACTTGGAAAACTGGGTTTCTGATCTGATTATCCACATCCCAGCCTCTCTCCAAAACTGATGAATGAGGTGTCCTTTTCTTTTCCTAAAAATACACATACTCACACATACTTATTTTTGACCAGAAGGTAATAGCTAATATTTATTGTGGACTTATTTTGTCCCCTTTATAAAATCTTTATATCTTTGTGATTAATATTATTAGTATTCCCATTTTATAACTGAGAAAACTGATGCATAGAAAGGATACCTTGACAAAGGTCATGTAGTTAATAAGGAGAAGTGCTGGGATTTGAAGGAGATAGTCTGGTTCTATGGCTTCTGCACCCCAGAGCTATACTGCCTCCCATGGGGGACTTCATGGAGCTGGCTGAGGAGTTCCTGTTATTTTGGGCTTCTCTCAGAAATGCATTCCTACCATAGCACTCACAGCAAACAGCCTCCGAAGAGGTCCTATTTGAAGAACTTAAAACCCAGAATCTTTTCCCTTGTCCAGATTGTTGAGGAAGCTTAAACTAAATGATAGGCCTTTTGTTTCTTTATCAGATGATGCATTTAATTTTTAGTGATTCCTTAAAGTCTTTACTGTTATGAATACATAGTTATTTTGTATCTACTGACCTTTTAGCTAAATTTGCTTTAAAGAAACAAAAGTTTGGTTCCTGCTTAGGTCTAGATCCTTGATTACAATGTAGTATGTGCATAGGCAGTTAAATGGTGTGAGTGATTGGTGAGCCTTGGATTGCTGCTTTTGCTCTGTGTGTGAGGTATTATTATCATCTGTATCTACTTTCAATAAAGTTATATGTGTATTCAGAACAGATTGTGTTCTTTCCCCATTCCTTTTTTCTTTCCCCTTAGGTTGAGATTCTGGTGGTTTCCTAGAACACATACAGTATACAACAAAACTACTTTTGACTTCATTACCGTCACTTTCAGCTGTGAAAATTACATTCTTAATATTTTTCCTCCTTAACACAGAGTACTACAAAGGTAAGAGTAGGCTGCAGGTTTCATTCTTTCTCTCCTTTTTCCCATGATCCTGTCCTTGGATTCAACTAATTTTTTGTAGAGCAACTCCTGGAATTCAGGAAACCAATGTATTCACTAGATTACCTGTGTGTTACAAAAGGATATAACTCAGAAACAACTGACCAGATGGAAGAGATGCACAGGGCAAGGTCTGTGGAAAGAGCATGGAACTTTCATGCCTTCTGAGTGTTCCACTCTGCCAGCACCTTCACTTGATCACCAACCCAGAAGCTCTCTGAACCCTGTCCTGTTGGGGTTTTTTATAGGCTTCATTACATAGGCATGTTTAATTAAATCATCGGCCATTGGTGATTTAGTTCAATTTCCAGCCCCTCTCCCCTCCCCAGAGGTCAGGGTTAGGACTGAAAGTTCCAACCCTCTGATCATGTGGTTGGTTCCTAGGCAACCAGGCCCCATTTTTAGTCACCTCATTATAATAAGTCACCTCATTAACATAAAGGTCATCTTTATCGTTCTCCGTGTTCAGGAAATTCCAAGGGTCTTAAGAGGTCTGTGCCACAAACTGGGACAAAGTCCAAATACTTATCTCCTATTATAAATCACAACATCACAGATAGCATCAACGCAGTCACCAGGCGAAAAATCAAACCTTTGTGCTACTTCCTCACATTCATCTTACAGTGCAGTGCTGGTTTTGTTTTGATTTCCATATAGGAGTTGATGGGTACCATTTTCTTTTGTATTGATTGGGTTCTGAGTCCTCTAAAACACAGAGCCTTTGGCAAAAATCAAGATGTTAACAACTTGTTTGGGGGGTGCAAGCCCAGGACAGTGAAGGTGAGGACAAACAAGAAGGGAAGTGAGGCCAACTAAGCGTGGTGCAGTGCAATGCCATCGTTATCACCCCGGCCACTGCTTCACCAAGAGCTTAGAAAAGACACAGCCAGTCACGCCGCAGCTTTATGTGCTTGGCACAGAGTCAGAAAGGACTGCAGAAAGCATGTTGAAATGCCCTATTTTATAGAGGAAGAGGAAACTTAGTTTTATTTCCTGGGACAACAACAGACAATGTGAAATATATTACAGTAATAGGACATTAAAATGTAGTCTTAGTGGTACCTTTGGCTTCTCCCTCTTGTTCCTCAGGTCCATCATCACTAGTCCTGCCTCTCCTTCACTTCAAATCTCACTACCCAGTTGGCATTTTCATAGTTGTCTCACCAGAATGATTAAAATACCCACTAAAAACTCTGTCCCCATCTCCCTTCCTCCTCCCACTGTAAACTACCTTTTGAAAAAAATAGCTCTGATCTCATCGCTCCTCTGATGATATGCCATCAGCAATTCCCTAATGCCCAGAGCTGTACGTGCGTGCGTGCGTGCGTGCGTGCGTGTCAAACCTAATCTTTATAGGGCTCAATAAAATGCAGATTGCTAAGACCCATCCCCAGCATTTCTGATCCAGTAGATGTGAAGTTGGGCCCATGAATTTACATTTCTAACAAGTTCCCACTGCTGTTGCTGCTGGTGGTCTTCCAACCACATTTTGAGGACCACTGGCCCAGAAAATAAAGTTCAAACTCCCCAGCATGGCCATCATGGGTTTCTCATTCTACTTTGCTTAACTCGTGTCCCTCCTTCCTCATCAAACCTCTATGGTCTAGTCACACCAGACCACCAGTTTTTCCAAAGCATAGTCCATACATTTATTATTACAGCCTTTGCTCTATGTGTTCTCTCTGAAATACCTCTCCACCTCATTTTTCTCTTAGAAATCTCTTACTCATCATTCAAGGTTTCAACAGGGACTTTCATTCAATCTTATCTCCAAATTGTGCAATTCCCTGTGTTCCCAATAATGCTGTGGACCCTAAGAAGATACCTACTAAAATGGGCTTTTAGTGGCTAACTGGGCTCAGATGAGAAACAAACAAAACAGCCTAGCAGCCATTTCTACACAGGAACCCCTCATTTAAACTGCACTTCAGGGAGAAACCTGCACTAAACTACCTGCCTCTGCACTAAACTGCCTGCCTGCATTGTTTCTGCTATCTGAGCCAGCCCTTTAAAAGGAATTCCTGGAATCCTATTTCAACCAAAAGGACTGAGGCTTTTCCATATAATCAGACATGCGCAACTATATCGCCATCAGCTTCTTCACTAACCAATCAGTATGGCTCTGGACCAATCAGGGCAATGCCTTTTGGAACAGTCAAATTGTGAGGATTTGGAGTCCTCATTTGCTTGAGGACAGACCAATCAAGGACCAGGGGCAGGGACTTCTGTCTGTATAAGTCCGCTCCTCTCTGTCCCCGAGAGCGCACTTTCCTTTTCCACCAAAAACTTTTTTTCCCTGGCTGGAACTGAAACACAGAAGATATCTCACTGGAGCAGAGCAGAACAGACCGGCACAGGCCAGAGCAAACTGGCACAGATCAATTGGCACCAACTACCTTCGGTTGATAATGCAGATGTGATAACCAAATTCACTCAGCTTTCTGCCTTGGGATGGTGCTGGGCACTGACCTTGAAGTTCTACAGCAACCCCATTCTTGGGCCCTCTGATTGCTGGCTGGGTTCAGCAATGGGAGGTCCCAGCAAGAGATTAGAAATTCAGGGGAGAGAGTGGTTGGGGGACTCACTCCCCTTGCTGGCTCCCAAAATCAGCCATGATTCTCTTGTAATGGCTCACTCCTACAGGGATAGCTCTTATCAGGCTCAGTACATGCCCTCTCCTTGCCCCTTGAACCTAGATGGTAAGGAGAAGGTGGAATGTTTCACCATTTCTCATGGTTTCTTTTACTCTTTGCCCACCCCTAAGTAGTCTTTTTATTAAACTCTCCTCAATTACTTATTTGGAGTGTACCATTTATAGTCTGCCAGGAACCACCAGGAAATTATGATATACCAGGTAAATGTGAATGAGTCTACTTTTTTGCTCCCTTCCCGTTTACTTCCATGTTCATTCCAGAAATAATGGATCTGTGTCCAATTTATCTTTATAATCTTAACACAATGCCAGGCATATCAAAGACTTTCAGTACATGCTGGTTGAATGAAATAATGTCTTGTCCGGCTAGACCTGATTCCAGCTGTCTTAGTGCGCATGAAAAGGAGCCAGTACAGCCCTGGCTGGTTTGGCTCAGCGGTTAGAGCTTCGGCCTGAGGTCCAGAGAGACCCGGGTTTGGTTCCTGCTAAGGGCATGTACCTTGGTTGCAGTTTGTCCCCAGCCCTGGTTGGTTGTGCGGGTGGCAGCCACTCAATGTGTCCCTTTCACGTTGATGTTTCTCTCTCTCTCTTCCTCTCTCCCCCTCTCACTCTATCTGAACAAAAAATGGAAAAATGTCCTCGGGTGAGGATAAAAAAAAAAAGAAAGAAAAGAAAAGAAAAGGAGCCAGTACATTTTTCTGAAGATGAATGAATAGGGAAAGCGGGGTGGGTTAGGAAGGGGTTGCCCAGGAAGAAAGGGAACTAGTACAGATTTTTAAAAAACCAGACAGTAGGGTTTATTGAGGGGTATGCCCAGTGCCTGTGGCCCAGCTTTCTCCAACTTCCCTCTGGCTTCTCCCAGACCTTCACATTCTGGGTGGTCAATGTCCTGCCCTCACTCTCAACTAACAGTGAGGCTCTGATGTTCTAGAGCCAAAAAACAAGACAAGAAAGGGGCTCCAGGTGGCCCAAGTTTCAGCCACCTGATTCTCTGTGAGGTCAAGCTTCCAGAGGTGGGTGGCAGTGCAGTGATGAAATACCTCCACCCCAGGCTGAGAGAGGAGTTCAGTTCTTTCCTCCCCCAGAGGGCCTGGCACCTGCCCCTGACAAAGCAAGGAATAATATTAAATGAAAATAATTTATGCAAAATGGCTCATACAAAAAGCTGCAGATGGCGGAGGAGATGCCTCTGTGAGAGACGGAGATGACTGGACAGGGAAAGATATCGCCACCTCTCCTAGTCTCTAAAACAGAGCCCTCCAACCGTCCAAGGGCTGGAAGAGGGCTTTGGCAGGCAGGGGAGGGGCAGAGCAGGGCCAGGGGCCCTCAGGGGTCCAGGCTGGTATGCAGGGTGGTGAACTGTCTGCCCTGCCAGCTGTGTCACACACTGCACCATCTATGGGCTGCAAAACCAATGGGTAGGCCAGGGCAGCCCCCTTGACAGTGAGCACAGTAGCCTGCAATGCCTGGCCCAGTGCCGTACCTGCAGCCCTGCCATGTACTTGGAGAGGGGCGGAGGCTGCCAGCTGGCACAGACGGTGAGAAGCCACCATCACTTGCTTGTCACGGGGCACGAAGGGGTATAGGGGCTGGTTGTTGGCCCAGGTGCTGGACATCAGGGCCACCACAGCTGCCTGCATGCCCAGTGGTGGCTCTGGCACTGCCCTGCATAGAAGTGCAGGAGCCGCTGATCTCCAGCAGGCAGAACCAGCAGCTCCCCTGGGGACAGGACCTCCTGCTGCTCCAGTGGTCCCCACTCCAGCAGTTCAGGATCCCCTGGGAAGGTCTTATCCAGGGGGCCTAGATCCCTGAGAATACTGATTTAAAAAATATATATGTTAGACACTCTACAGACTTTATCTCATTGAATCCGCACAATAATATCATTTAGTAGTAATTGGCTATGCTCACTGTACAGATGCCCTTGACTGAGGTTACTTGACTGATAAACTATAACGCCTAGGACTTAGACCCAGAATTTGTCTGACAGCAACTTCTGAACCCAAAGGGTGACATAAGTCCACGGCAGCTGCTGTTCCTCACCTCAAAACTGCAGCCTAGGGCAGAAGTGGTTTTCACGGAAACGAAAGCGAAAGATGTAGGCACCAGCCTGTTGGGTGGGGCGGGCTGGCAGTGGGGACAGATGGAGCTGAGGACGGCTGCGCCCTGCCCCACGCTGCTGGTGTGAGAGTCCTGGGGCTCTGGGGTCCCATCCCCCGAAGAACCTGCACCACCAAGTCGCAGGAGTACGGTGCTTCCAGAGCCCGAGGAGAACCGGAGGCGCCGAGCCTGAGGTCCGCCAGGAGCCGGGCAGCCCGCCCCGCTTCCGAGCGCTCTTCTGCCGGGAGGACGGTGAGGGGCGCCCGGGGGCGGGGGGTGAGGAGGGAGCGACACGGCTGACCTGCCAGGCGCCCGGAACGTGTGCTGCACTTTGAACACAGAGCTGCACAGAGACCCCGCGTCCCTCAGAACCCTCTCTTCTAGGGAGACACCCTGGCTTGTCCTGGGAAAGCGTACGGGCATCTTTTCCCATAGAATGTCTGAGACCCGCCCCCGCAAAGTTTTTAAAAGTTTCTTATCAATTAGGAATATTGGTCCTTTATCTTTGATGTATGTTTTGAATATTTCCTTTGGTCTTTTGAACTTGTTTATAGTGCCCCCCGCCGCCCCTCGCCTCCGCAAGTGTGTGTGTGTTTGGCTTTTAAAAAATGTAGTAAAATTTTCCAATCTTGTTTTATTGCATCAGGACTTGAATCACATTTTGAAAGTTTTCCCATACACCCAGGTTATCATCGCCCATGCATTCTTCTAATTTTTATATTTAGATCTCTGGTAGTTTGGAATTTATTCTTGTATATGGGCTGAGGAATGGATTTAATTTAATCTTTCTTTTTTCTGAATGGGCATCCAGTTGTCCCAACACCCAATTATGTGAATCCATTTAAATCGCTCTCTGTAGATCTTCCACTTTGTTCATTAGTTGACTTTATTAAAAAGATTACCATTGCCTCAGTAACTTGAGATACACCATTATCATTTACTACATTTTTTACGTCATTTGTCTGTTTCTGGAACTTCTATTCCACTGACCTGTTTATTCATCTGTTGTAAAGAGATTTTGTTACATATTTTAATGTCAGGGCTACTTCTCTTACAGAGCTCTTCCTCTTTAGTGTTTTCTTAATTATCTTCGTGTGCTTATTTTTCCTTATGAACTTTAGGATTGACTTATGATTTATGATCAGTGTCAAAAATTGGGGTTGCATTAATTCATCAATTGAATTACAGGCAGCTGACATCTTGTGATGGTGTTGAGATGTTCTAACCAAGAACAAAGGTGGCCATTTCATTTGTTCAAGTCTGCTCCTTTCAGTTTGGGAAATTTACACATTTACTGCCCTGTCTGAGGAGAGGGTCCTATGCTTCACTGTGTTAATGTACCAACTTGCATTTCTTGAGTATCTGCTAGATTGTAGATAACTTTTTATTTTTATCATTTTAGTGTTTTATATGACTCCATTTAAATTGATATTTACATTTTATTTCATTAGTTGAACATTTTTTACCTTGGCACGATTAGTTAAATAGATATAGAACTTTCATTCCGCTACTTTTGGTGTGTCTACCGTTAACATTTTTAACCTATCAGGAGTTAATACTACTGTCTTTGGTTGTTTATTATGAAGTAGGAATTGATATCTAATTTTCTTCATAATGAAAACTAATTTTCCAATAATATTTATTAAATTATGATTCATCTCTCCACTTTCCTATTCCTCTTAATACTTCACATGTTACACTTTTTGATAGATTAAGGCTTATTTCTGGCATTTCTGTTGTAGTCTTGTCATATTATCTATTTTTAATTTAGAACTATTTAGTTTTGTACTTATTAATTTAAAATGCATTAAAAAAAAAAAAAAGGCTATTTCTTAGCCCTGGCCGGTTTAGCTCAACGGTTAGAGTCAAGAGAGACCCGGGTTTGGTTCCCACTAAGGGCATGTACCTCGGTTGCAGTTTGTCCCCGGCCCTGGTTGGGTCTGCGGGTGGCAACCACTCGATGTGTCCCTTTCACGTCGATGTTTCTCTCTTTCTCCCTCCCGCTCTGTCTGAACAAAAAATGGAAAAATGTCCTTAGGTGAGAATAAAAAAAAAAGACTATTTCTTAGAATATAGATTCACAGCAAAATTGAGCAGAGGATACAGAGAGTTCCCATATCCCAATTTATTAGAGCAGTTTTAATTTCACAGTAAAATTGGTCACAATGAAAAATGGAAGTCTGTTCTCCCTATAATGTCTATAAATGTTTACTCATATCTAATCTTCTTAGTGAATAGGCAGCATTTTTGTGTTTTGGCTATCTCTGTAGATTGCCCTTTCATTTTGCAGTAACAGAAACTTCTTTCTTTTCAGTAGCAAGTTGTAGCTCTATTAATTTATATCAGTGGATGAGCACCATCATTTACTATCATATTTGTTACTTTTGTTTTCCTGTGACTGGGTGAGTAAGTCTGTCTTTACAAAGTATAATGTTTAACTTCACATGATCATTTAGCCAAAGAGTTACTATTTTTTAAAATAAGGCAATGAGTGAAATCTATTTTTTAAGTATTTAAAACATCAGCAAGTAATATAAAGCACAGAGCCTTTCAAATCTCAAGTCAGATATAAAAACTAACATCTTAGGTGTTTTTGTCTCCCTAAAAATTGCTGAGTTGGAAGCCCTCAGTACAAAAGTAATACTTTTCAGAGGAGTGAGTATAGTAGATGAAATGGCCGTGGATGAAATAAATGAATTTTAAGGAGATCCTTCACAAGCCTCCCTGGTGGTTGAATTTTATAATATCCAAGATGCTGTGACTGAGACTGGGCTATCCTTGCTTTTGGAGTTGATCTGTGGCCTGTCAGAGCCAATGGTGACTTCAGGGTGGAAGGAATACCCAACACTAAAGTTGCTGTCTTCACTTTTCTCAAAATATTGGTAAGAAGGACAATAGCTTTTAACCTTTCATTTGCAAATTGTGGTTGTATCCTACTTTGAGATTCCAGGCATCCTGAAATGGGTCTTCAAAAGTTGTGCTGTTTCTAACTCCCAGTGAGAAAATTGCAAGGGAATATGTATTAGTACTTCTAATAGCTAACATTTATCAAGTGCTTGCTCTATGCTAAACACTATACTAAGTTTTTACTTACTTTATCTCATAACACGTAGCACTATGAGATATATAATATTATTGTCCTCACTATAAAGATGAAGAAATCTGGGTTTGGAGAGGATTAAATGACTTGCTCACAGTCACACAGCTAATAAGTTTTTGAGTCAAAATTCCAAATTAGACATTCGGACTTCTGAGTGTATTGTCTTAACCACTGATCATGTGTCCTTAAATTTCCAGTGAGTTTTAATAGTTATAGGACTTTATTTTTATGATAATTACACATGCAAATAGAGACTGAGATGTGTGAAATTAGTACAGGGGTCAGAGAGAAATTAGGTTTAGGAGATAATATTGTATTACGGTCATTATTACTGTTATCAGCTTACAGTATGGCTGTACATAATTGACTTCATTTGGAAATCATGTTGATCCATGTTTTCAAAATAATCTGCAACGAAGGTCACTGTTAATGATAACTATGCATTCAGGGTAGGCAATGTGGGATAAGTAGAAGTTGACACTGTGAAATTTAACTTTTCATAGAAATTGAGTCATGGCCTCCAAATAAATTACTTTTAAAAATTTGTTTTCTTCTAATATGAAATGAAATTACAGTACCAATAAACTGATATTTATTTGTAGATGTCAGGACATTTGTTAATGTTTGTGACAGACACCATAGAGCTCAGCAACTTCAGATTTTCCCAAGACTCCTGGAACTGACAAGAACCATTAGAGTTGAAAATCTGCCACTACTGGTTGATACTAATTACACAGTCATTTTCTTTGATAATGCACCAAATGGAGAAAGAGTAACCAATGTCCAATATTTCCCAGAGGAGATCCAGCCCTGGTTCAGTTTTCTGACTACAGAGGTAATCAATTTCTTTTCTTTCTTGATGTTTGCAGTTATTATTAACCATTCCACACACAAATGAAATCAGAATAGGAGCCACATAGGTGATAGAGACAGAGAGAGTGAGAGAGAGACAGAGAGACAGAGACAGAGACAGAGACAGAGAGAGACATCAATTTGTTGCCTCCTGCACAATCCTGACTGGGGCTGAGGATCAAACCTGCAACTGAGGTATGTGCCCTTGACTGGGAATAGAATCCATAACCCTTCAGTGCATGGGCCCATGCTCTATTCACATGGACCAGGGCTGTACCACAGTTCTTCTTATCCACTTGTCTATGAGTGGACACTTGGGTCCTTTACATATCTCAGCTATTGTAAATAATGCTGCAATGAACATAAGGGGGCATATATTTTTTTGAATTAGCATTTTGAATTTCTTCAAATATATACCCAGAAGAGGAATCGCTGGGTCATAAGGCAGTTCCATTTTTTAATTTTTGGAGGACTCTCCATACTTTTTTCCACAGTAGCTGCACCAATCTGCATTCCCACCAACAGGGCAAGAGGGTTCCTTTATTCCACATTTTCACCCACATTTGTTATTTGTTGATTTATTGATTATAGCCATCTGGACAAGTGTGAGGTGATATCTCACTGTGGTTTTAATTTGCATTTCTCTGATGATTAACGACACTGAGCATCTTTTCTCATTCTTTCTTAAATTAATTTGAGAGAGGCTTTTATTCCCACCATTCCACCAAAACTGTTCTTGTTGAGGTCACCATGTTGCTAAACTTAACAGCCACTTTTCAGTCCTCATTTTACTTGATCTCTTAGCAATATTTGACTCAATCACTCTCTCATCCTAGATGCACTTTCTTTGCTTGTCGCTAGGACATCACACCTTGGTTGTTGTTTTTACCTCAGTAGCACCTAATTCTCTTTCTTCATTCATTCACCTTTTCCCCCCTCATTTCTTTTATATATATATATATATTTTTTTTTAATCCTCACCCGAGGATATTTTTCCATTTTTTATACAGATAGAGTGGGAGGGAGAGAGAGAGAGAGAGAGAAACATCGACGTGAAGGGACACATCGAGTGGCTGCCACCCGCACGACCAACCAGGGCCGGGGACAAACTGCTACCGAAGTACGTGCCCTTAGCGGGAACCGAACCCGGGTCTCTCCGGACCGCAGGCCGACGCTCTAACCGCTGAGCCAAACTGGCCAGGGCTCCCCCTCATTTCTTAATGTAGGATTCAGTGTTCTTCT